TGGCAATTTATCATTCAATAATTGATACATAAAAACACAAACAGATAATTTATGGAGTTGATACACATTCAATAATTTTAGCTCCTGGAATATCGGTTGTGAATGAGTCCTAATTGGACTAAACGTTATAACTCTTAGTGCCATCTTTTGGCTTAATAATAAACACTTCATGTTCATTTCATAATTACTTCCCCAAACCTCAATTCCGTAGGTCATATGCGGTTGGATTAACGTCTTATACAGTAACAACAAAACACGCCTTGGCACAAACTGTCTTAATCTATATAAAACACCAACCCTTTTCCTAATAAACTTATTAACCCTTTGGATATGAGGTTTCCACGTCAAGTGTTGATCTATATAAATTCCTACAAATGATGCAACATCAACCTGGGTTATTTCAGTCTCTGCTATTTTTAGCACCCCTTGAGTCACTACTGATTGCCTACTCCCTCTTATTAACAAATAATTAGTCTTTAATAGATTGACTGTAAGTTTATTCACCTTACACCATATGGTCACCTTATCAAGATGCATATTAACTATATTATCCATATCAATTGAATTCTGTCTCGGTGGAAACGTATGAAACAAGTTAGAATCATCGGCAAAAAGTCTAAAATTAAAATAATTTGTTGAGTTTGGTAAATCGTTTATGTACAACAAAAACAGTGTAGGTCCCAACACAGAACCCTGAGGAACACCACATGTTATTATCTGCTTCAATGAGCTATGTCCATCATAGTTCACAAACTGAAATCTATTACAAAGATAATCTTTAAACCACTGGAGAGGAAGGCCCCTTATTCCATAATGTTCTAATTTTCCAGCCAATATTGCGTGATCAATTGTATCAAAAGCTTTCTGGAAATCTAGGAATACACCTAGTGTTACACTGCCCTTATCCAGTGTTTTAAGCACATCATTAACCAAATTAATTAAAGACAACTTAGTACTATAATGTTTACGAAAGCCATACTGGTGCTTATACAAGACATCATTTCTTTCAAAATAATCAAGTAGCCTCTTGTTTACTAATTTCTCAAATATTTTGGCCAAAAGAGGCAAAACTGAAATAGGTCTGTAATTGCCTGGGACATTTTTATCTCCCTTTTTAAAAATTGGTGTAACTTTGGCTACTTTCATTGCATCTGGGAACACACCGTTCAATAATGACTGATTATAAATATAAGATATTGGTTTTGCAATTACTTCAGCAGCATCCTTCAGTAATCGGGCTGGAATATCATCAAAGCCGCAAGCTTTCTTTACATTTAAAGTTAATAAATAGTCCCGTACCTCATAATGAGTAACTGGTTCCCTAAACATGGAGTCAATTATTCCATCACTAAGATAACCTTTGAATGTAATAACATCGTCAACATTACCATTAATAGATTTAGCAAGGTTAGGCCCAACGTTCACAAAAAAATCATTAAAGCCTTCTGATATTTCTTTCCCTGAGGTTACAACTTTCTTACTACCATTATCATCAACACAGAGCTTATCTACATGTGACGTTTTTACTTTACTGTTTCCACTCTTCAATAGCTTATTTATTGACTTCCATGTTTGCGCTGTGTCACCTTTATACATTTCAAATACATCACTATAATATTTCCTCTTCGCATTCCTCAAAACTGTAGTTAAAACATTTCTATACGTCCTATATTTTTTCAAATTATCTTCACTATAGTTTGATTTTAATACTTTACCATACAATTTATGTTTCTTTTTAATTGACTTCTTAATAGCTCTAGTCAGCCATGGTTTATCATTTTTCCTCCTGGAAGAGTGACGATGAACAATCGGAGCATATTGATCACATATACCTATGAATGATTGTACAAATATATCATATGCTTTATTAACATCAGTACATTCATATACATTTTCCCATGATTCCAAAAGTAGACTATCCCAAAACTGTTCTTTCTCATAGTTTTTATAACTTCTATATCGTACTTCTCCTTGTGGTTGTAATTTTACTGAGCTATCTTCAAAAATAGCAAATATAGGGAAATGATCAGAAACGTCAGTTACAATTGTACCAGCACATATGCGATCTGCACCCATATTTGTGTAAATATGATCAATTAAGGAACCTGACATGGGTGTTACCCTCGTAAGGGTCTTAATTAATTGATGTATTCCCAAACACACTAAGGAAGTAACTAACATTTCAGCATTTACGCTGGGATTATACAAATCAATATTGAAATCACCCATTAAAATACACAACTTTTTATCAACTTTAATCCTTTCTAACACAGACAATAAACTCCCTTGAAACTGGAAAATATCAGTGTTTGGTTTTCTATAAATGACACCTACAACAACGGAACGATCACCGATCTGAACCTCAAGCCATAGTGATTCAGCAAAGTCAATATCATATTTTAACATTTTATATTTCAAAGAAGAATGAACAATAGACTCCAACACCTCCTCCCCTTAAACCAGGGTCCCGGCAATTCACTTCCAAAGTATAACCATCTATCCCAAGGATATCTGCACAAGATACATTCCAGACTTCAGACAATCCAATTAAATGAAATTTTGATTTTATGCATTCTTCATACAATAATCTTAAGGCATCAATATTCTTATTTAAAGATCTAATATTTATATGAGAAATCGTAAAAGCTGTTGGGAACTTTGAACATAATCTGTTATCAAATTCGAATGGAGTTAATTCAAAAGAGTCAATATCAAACAAATTAATGTCTTCGTTAATATCGAACATAATGAAATATTCGGGAATCTAACATAGCCTTAAAATTGAGTGAAACATACTAGGCAAGGAAATGGAGCTTAAAATCGCCGTATTGGACATTGTCAACTCCGAGTTCAAAGAGATCATCCGGGCTCCGGATGATCTTGTATGCATCATCTTGAAGTTTGCAGACGATGCTTCCGTATTTTGTCGATACACTTTTCACGGCAGGGGTCTCCTTTGATCTCATCAAGAGCGAGAATCTTAATGGTGTGAGGTCTTCATTAATAAAGACCCCTCTCATTCCATCCTTCCCCTTCAACCGGAACCGTCCATCGTAGAGACGGTCTCGCTTTCTCCGCGAAATAAATCGAACAATGGCCTGCCTGCTCCTCCCTCCTTCTCTCTTCTTCCCGAGCCGATGACACGAAGAAATATCGGTCGGCTGGATGTCGACACCGACCTCCCTGGCGACTTCGCAAACCCTCTCCGCAAGAGCATCTTCCGACTCCTCCTCGTTCTCCTTCAGACCAGTCAGCCGCAGGTTGTCCCTCCTCAGTTCTTGCATTATTTCGTCCTGTTTAAACTGCAGACGCAGCAGGTGTGGGTTGACTGCCTCCTTAAATCTTGAAAGGCAGGCTTCTCGCACCGCCTGGATGATAGTCGGGAGTGCAGCTTTACCAGCGGTGGAGACCGCAGTCACAACAAGCTGGGCGATGTCATCCCCAGGCTCACTCCCAACCCCCCCTAAGCTCTTCCAACAACCCATCAAATTTGAGCTGGATCCCTGCACTCGCCCCATTCGAGCCCCCTAGATTAGAGCTGGTTTCTTCCACAGCTGCCATTCCTCTCTTCTCCTTCACTGCCTGGTCAACTCCCACGTGGGCAGTAAAAGGTCGTTTGGCCGTTGGAATGTGGCCTTGTGGTTTGGAGCTTGGCAGAAAATGTCCAGGCATCTTGTTCTTACTGTTCCTTGTTTGAGGCATCTTGTGTGTATCACAGGAATTGTAGAAATATATACATAAAACAGAAGGCTTGGGACTGAAGTGTCAAACTGATCCAAAAGTTGTAAGTAAAGTTATAGCTGAAAGTCAGAAGTCCTCTTTTTAATGAACTCAACAGCAACCAAGAAGTCCACTAAAGTTGTCTCCAAATTGTCCTTTCTCACGAGTCACATTTAGAGTGACGGGCAAATATTCGGATATACAAAATTGATGCAATACTAGTAATCACACAGCAAAAAGAGGACAGTCTCTACTACTATCCTAACTTATTTGCATCTATTTAATCATTCGTAATTTCATTTTACTTATACTAATACTTACTCATTCGCTTCAATATTTATTACATTTCTTTCTTTCTTTATTCATTATCTTGATTTTTGTACCAATAATGATAAGAATAATCCATAGATCAACTTTATAGCGCAGCTGCTATACACTATTATGCAGTTTATCTATTTACCTACTTAAAGGTAAAGACCAGTTATGTTCATGCGATTGCATTGTGAAAGAAACGTTGTGGAATCGATCAGAAAAGGTTGATCATCTAGCATCTAGCATCTGCAAGGTTCTGGAATCATCAAAATGATAAGAAATTTGGCACATTCTTCGTAAAGTTACAAGCACTATACACAGAAAGATGTATATGGGACTACCCTATATCTCTCACAGACCATGAGAGAAACAAATTTACCAAATATATGAATTAGTAGGCGGTTTCCCGGCAAATTTGTTATCATCATGTATTAGTCAAAACATATTCTTTCACATGATTGGTGATGAGAGCTTCCATTTCATTTTTTGAAATTGGGGCGTTTCCAATACTGGTCTTTACCTTTAAATATAAGCCATCCGACATATAGCACGGATATCATAATAAGGTTCGAATATAGGATGGGCAGGATAATTTCGAAAAGGTTCGAACACTGTAGTGTGCACTGATTGGTCGAAACTTTTGTCTACACTATATATTGCGAAGATACAACAGGTGTTTGGATTCGTACACTTATAGTTCAGAGAGGGAAAACACGCTACATAATTTCCAAAGTGACATTGTAAATATTTGTTTTAAAAGTTTAATTTAGACTTACATTTGTATTGAGTTATAATCAATAAGTCTACCTGATGTATATCTTATAATCATCTTAAATAATTATAATGCATTCCTTTATAGAAGCCAAAAAAGCGCCGACCAGCGTACTTCCAAAAATGTAACCCCCTTGATATATAATGGACTCGTCCAATTAGGCTGAGCTCCATATCGTAGCGTGGAAGAGATCAATGATCTGAAACAACAAACACAATGTACAATTCCGTCTCATGGCAACTTGTATTGTTGACACGACTTCACCGCGATTGTACGGCAAGCTCAGCGGGCGAGAATGAGAGAGAATCGCATGCAGTGAATTACGGAAACGCGCATTAAAGTATCGTCTAAAAACAAGTGACGTGTACAGGCTGTAGACATCTGATTTCAGCGAATGGTATAAGAGGTAATTTTGATGTCTCATTAATTATATTAAGTGGTTACATCAAGCATCCATTGCGGAGAAATAAGTATTGTCCAGTGTTTGAAAACGGGTGTGTGTGGTTCAGTTGCAATATTATAATCGCATATCGGTCCCACACGCCTGAATTACTGTTGGTTTGATTCTATGGTTGACCTTATCCTTATTGTTCAATTGCAGATCTTCACAAAATGGCAGAAACTATGGTGAGACCGAGGCCGCTCGGCGATCTACGACTTCATCTTCAAGTAGATACCAATTCTGGAGCCAACAATGTTCAGGATATAGTGAAAAATCGGCGGCAACGGCTGATGAAACTCCCAGTCTCGAGAGGACGATTTGACGTGGCCAGCTTTCAAGATCACAAAAATTCTGGATTTGTGAAATATAACGATGACACCCTTGCTCCAAACCGAGACAATTATCCAATCATTGATCCCACGAGTGGGTTCGTGTCGGTTGCGGCTGATGTGGACAGAAATACAGGGGTCTCGCATATCCCGAACATGCAGCAATCGGACAATCCCCCGAACACGGTCACCCCGCTCTCGCCACGACCGACAACAACTCTTGCTTACAGGGACAAAGTGAAGGAGTCGAACTCCCAGAATCCTTTGAGAGCCTCGGCCCCCGCTGCCTTACAGTCTGCCGACCCTCAGCTGCAGAAGACAAGACTTTTAAATGATCCTGGTACATGGAATAGCAAGAAGATCAGTGATGCCATGATAAGAGCAAAACTAGGAGGTAATAATTTGTTCTTCAGTGTAAAAGCTAAATTCCAGATTTGAATAATGAAAATATCTTACAAACATGTGTCCAGTACCATTTCAATATTCTACTTTAAAATAACTATTGTGTTATATAAAGTATGAGTAAAAGCTCAATTGCATGTTTATTGTGATATACTGAGACGTATTGATAAAACAAAGTAATAAGCAGATCATAATCGAAGACCATTTTTCCAAACAATTATTGTTATTATTATTAGTAGTAGTAGTAGGGTTGTTGTCGTTGTTAATATTATTATTTTTATTGTTGTTATTATAAGTAGTAGTATCATTTTTATTAGTAGAATTATTATTACTATCATAATTTTTATCTTATTATTCATTATTTTTTCTTTGCAATTATCATGGAATTATTGGAGGGTATTATTGAAATATATTTAGAAACCAACTCAGCTCGCCAAATTTAAGAAAAAATGTTGTTGAGCCATTAACCTTTTGAATGATGAAAATACCCTACAAAGTATTTTCATCATTCAGTTCAGTACCATTACAAAGGGCATGCGATATTCTACTTTTTAGAAACTGTTTTGTTATACATAGTATGAGTAATGAAGTGTAAGTATTTTAAAACTTGTCATGGTTCATGCTAGAGTAAAATCTGGAAATACGCTGAACTCCCTGACAAAGTGAGAGTTACATGTGACTTGTGAGAGTAAATAATGTCTTAAATATGTTTCCTGTTTTTTTTTTCTTCTCCAGGTTGGACAAGTGATGCAGATCCAAGAAAAATAGAGAAAGAACAGGACCTTATATGGCAGCAGATTCATTCAAAATCCATTAAAAACCAGGCAAATGTAAGTATTCAATGTTGGTATATAGTGGTTCATTCATTTGGCTCTTGAACAAAAAATTGAGGATCACAAATCTTAGCATGAAGTCTTAGGGGGAAGTAAATTCCGGCAATTTTTTTTTTACTGGCACTATGTACACCTCTCACCTGCACACCTGGACATCCCCATGTAGCCACACACATGCACTCGCACACATCTGCAAGAATCTTCAGCAGTGAAGGAGGCAGATTATTTTGAAGAAGAAGAAGAAGATTGTCTTGTGTGACCCAAGAGAGCATTTACATTGTAGCTAACCCACATTATTTTGCACAAAATTATGCTCACTTGGCATTTATCTACAGGTGTCAAATAGATTTAAATCATTATTTATACAGTATGTTTAATTCTTGTTGTGTGTATTATGTTTAGCAGGACTTCTTTAAAGAACAATGCTGTGATACAAATGGCTTTATTTACAGCAATCGGCCATCTCGTTAATAACTGATTTGTATATATCTACATTCAAAGTACTTTGTACATGTATGTTACATGTAAATGTTTCACAAGGAAGATCAAACAAAATAATCTCATGGTGTTGACATGAGAGTAGTAGAAATGGACTTCAGTATCTTGAGTGATTTTGGACTCCAACTGTGTATGCAATTTGGGTTTTTACAAAGTGTTTTGATCATATATGATTATTTATGTCTAGGGACCAACCTTTAACGTCACTTCATCCTTGGATTCTTTTGGGTCAGACAAACACTTTGAAATAGCATAGTCTGACATCCACGCATGCACTGGTTTATAGACCTTTATTAATGTACCAAGTGATCTGACCGGGAGACCTACAGGATAGCCTACACTCTCGTATAGATGATGATGAAGACGTGACTTGGTAACTCTAACCTGGGTCGAGTTAATTTATAGGCAAAGACAGAGAGCTGACCATACCACAGACATTGAGTGGGAAGTGTGACGTCATCAAAAATCTATTTTTAGAATTTCTCAATTTTTTTCTTCATATTCCAAAAGAACACCAAAAATAATGTCCAAATGTCGAAAACCAAGTATTGGCTGAGATATGACCATCTGAATGAATATATGCCCTATGGGAACTCAGTGTTATATGCTCTGGCTCCTAACCATTAGGAGCCAGAGCATATAACACTGAGTTCCTATGGGGAGTATATTTATTCAGATGGTCATATCTCAGCCAATACTTAACATATTCAATTGGTTTTCGACATTTGGACATTATTTTTAATGTTCTTTTGGAAAATGAAGGAAAAAATTGAGAAATTCTAAAAATAGATTTTTATGACGTCGCAGCTTTGGTACTCTATTACTGCTAGACCAACTTGTATCTTCATTGTCAATTGTGAATTGACACAGTTACTATCCTATGGTTTCCATGAGTAGGCAGAAGGCCTAGCAACATTGGAAACTTAGATTTTTCATTTTCTCGTATCTATCTAGGTAATTGACAAAGCCGAAGACTGGAAAGATGAAGCAGCCCTAAGATATGTCTACTTGCCTTCTACACAGAGGTATGTACATGTGTGCAACTCACAAACAAACCTTAAACTTTAGTTGATAATTGTATGCCAAATGTCATTGTTTCATACATTCAATATTAGTTCTGTATTCAATTTTTGTACAAGCATTCTGGTGAAAAAGAAGATTTTGACTAATTACTTTGTGACACTGGTAATGAAAATGAAGAACAAATTAGAGCATTCACTTGATTACGATCCTATACATAGGCCAGTTAATCTCATAGTAGAAATTGTAGTGAGCTACTAGCATATCCTGTTTATATTTTGTATGTACATGCATGAATGTCTAAGGTATTATTTTTATTTCATGAAAATGGCAAGTTGTTGAAGGGTAGCAAACTTACAGCATGCAAAAATGGCGGCCTAGCTAATCAAATACTAAAATGTATTGTAAGCAGTCTTGTTAATTTTTGCAAAAAAAAACATAAACCCATGAACTGTCCCTGTCTGTCATCCTAAAATATATCTTTCTCACTTTCTCGATGTAGATCATACGAAGGTGTGAACTGGGATGCCAAGTTAGCCCCTAAGGTCTTACCCCCAGCTACAACCCTGGAGAGACAACCTGACCCTGTCTCGCATCGCTTCAGCGTCAACAAACGATACGAGTCAGGTGCACAACCATGGCAGGTACAGATGAACACACCCCTAAAGAACCTACTTGGACATCTCATTGAAAATTTAGATATTCATAGTTTTTACAATTCAATCTTTCATTTGCTACAATATGTATGTGTATTTGTTATAGTTTTTTATTTTTTTAATATTGGCCCAGATGAAGGAGTATTGAACTCACTGGTTTTCTAAACAATGGCTTAAATTTCCACATTGGACTTAACAAATTATAACAACTTAAATTAAAAGCATATTATTGCATTATTATTAGCCCATAGGGCATGGGGTTATGGTCATACAATGCTTCTAGAGTTTAAACCATTGATTAACCTGATTCAATTAGTTCTTTAGGAATTAAGTTCCTTTTGTTTGTAATCAGGATAGATTCAAATCTGCATGGAAAAAATACACTCATGGAAATCTGAATGTGCCTATATAGTCAGTCAACTATCCTTGTCGCAAATTCCACATATTAAGTGCAAAACAAGACTATTGTGACTTAAATTCATATCCATAGTCCGTCGTTTATTCCCTCACACTGTATATCACATCGTACAAATGCGATCTGACCTTAATTGTAAGATCACAAGTCTCACATTTGCATATAGGTCCTATCTCATATATATATATATATATATATATATATATATATATATATATATATATATATATATATATATATTCATTATCATGTGATCATGACATCTATCCCCTATATTGCATTGTGGTTCGTTGATATTAAATAGAAAATGCTCATAATACAGTGCGTCCCAAAAAAAACTATACACTCATCCTCAATTCAGTAAGCTCCAAAGGATTTACCTCTCACAAATTGGAAGGCCAATTCCTGCGCAACCTAATTTTCATACCCTTTACAAAAGTGAGCAGTGCTCACCCAAGCATGAATTATTTTCTGACTTTTGGTGTCATATGAAAGTTGAGTTCATGAGCTTTCTATACATATAAAACTTTTCCCCCAAGAATATTATATTTTTTATTCGGCAGCCATTTCAAAAGTGTATAGTTTTTTTGGGGACGCACTGTACCGTGCATTTGACTAGACCTTCCTCTGATTTTTATTTGTGATGTTTTATTCTCCAACTAGAATCTTGGAAGATCATTTGACATGTTCCAGATCAGAGATGGATTTCACATCAAGGGACCCATCGAGTTGTAAGTATAGATAATACTTTAATAATATAAATGAGGTGCCTATATAGGAACACCAGGCTTAGAATTTTGGAAGGTGTTTTGAATTTGGTCTCAGTAACGATGGAGACCCTAATTTCCTTTTGCTTTCATCCATCATGAATGAAAGAAATATGAATGGTCTGCATTATTCCAGGGGAAGAGAAAAGTTATTTCATTATACCCTTCGATTCTCATCACAATTCACTCTGATATCTTTCTTTCCACATTGAAGTACATAAACTAGTAATAATTGACGAAGGAATGATTATGAATATATTTGTTATCTTTAATTATGACATGCCGAATAGATGTAATAACATCAAAGAATGATACAGAAAACTTTCATCGGTTGGGGTAAATCATAACATGTAGCTTAAAATTCTGCCAACATTAAAATTCAGCAGGCAAGCTTTTGTCCAACTCCTGTGGACTTTCTCAAGCCGAGTGTTGATTTATTCACACCATTTCTTGCTGTCTGCTGCTTCAAGATCACTGAGGCGAAGATAGGGGACAATGAATAGCCAGAGTTCCTAAAAACTATATACTTCCACAAGCGATAGCTACATGCATGATGCAGTCAAACCTGCTTTAGTGACCACCTATCTACAAAGACCACCTGTCTTCAAGGACCACATTTTTTGTTCCCCTTGAAAATGGTTTCTCCTTGAAACATGTACTAAAGGAACCTGTCTATAAATGCATTGGAATGCATTAACCCCTTCTTTACGTTTATTAAACTCACTGGATTCATTCAAAAAACACTGCAAACTCCTTTCTCTCACATAGTTTAAGATAGTACTTACATGAATATTTGACCCCCCCCCCCCCCCATTTATTTCAATATTTTATCTTGTTTAATTTTTGTGTTCATTATAACTTATGTATCTTTATATGTTTTGTAAAAATGTTTTTTATTATGTTGATACAGGGCCCCTTGGTCGAACAGTTTTTATAACTGAAAGGGCTACCCTGTCAAAATAAAACAACAAATAAATAAATAAATAAATATAAAGACCACGTGTCTACATGTACAAAGACCACTTTTTGTGCTTCCCTTGGGCGGTCGCCTTAGACAGGTTTGACTGTATATTGAAACTATTTTATTCTATTTTCCTCCCTTTTCCTAACAACAGCTGCAGCCCCCACCGCAAGAACTACCAGATTCCCAACTACACCGGTTTTGTTGGAGGTATGGGTGAGAGAGACCACCCTCAGCAGTACTTCTTCCCTTCTGCTGTCCAGAGGACCAGTCTACCGTGGTACACAGACACTGCAAAGTGAGTTCCAGATTTAATAATAAAAATTATATTCCATGTTTATATGTCGCTTAATACATCAACATTGTCTCTAAGCTCTTTACAGATAAATAATTATCCCTGTTAATTATCCATATCACATGGGATTAAGGCTTGCCCGCATACAATGTATGCACATTCTCCACTCCCTAGGGAGCATTCCAGCCAGGTACCACTTTACAGGTGCTCACAATGCTGAGCAAACTACATTAATGTTCACATCCTAGGATACCTATTCAACACCTGGGTGGAGAGTGGCAAAAGTAAATTAAGTCTTGCCATTAAAGGACGTTAGAGTTGGGCTGTGATTTGAACCCCTACCTTGTGACCTACAGTCCAATGACTTATCCACTAGATTGCAACACCTCCAAGGCCCTCAGATATGACTCCTTAAACAGCCTTATAACCCAGCTAAGAAATAAACAAACCCTTCTATTATTATAGTAGACTTGAAGTGATAATTTCCTTGATAGCAAACTGACAATAATAGGACAGATTATATTGTTAAGGTAAAGACCAGTATTGGAAACGCCCCAATTTCAAAAAATGAAATGGAAGCTCTCATTACCAATCATGTGAAAGAATATGTTTTGACTAATACATGATAATAAAAAATTTGCCAGGAAACCGCCTACTAATTCATATATTTGGTAAATTTGTTTCTCTCATGGTCTGTGAGAGATATAGGGTAGTCCCATATACATCTTTCTGTGTATAGTGCTTGTAACTTTACGAAGAATGGGCCAAATTTCTTATCATTTTGATGATTCCAGAACCTTGCAGATGCTAGATGCTAGATGATCAACCTTTTCTGATCGATTCCACAATGTTTCTTTCACAATGCAATCGCATGACCATAACTGGTCTTTACCTTTAAGCCCTGCAGTGCCCCAAAATTAAACTATCAAGCTTTGCCTCAAGTTTGTTTGATTCAATATTGCAACATGATTTCCTAATTATAATGCCTCTTCTTTTCTTTATTGGGCATCATAAAACAAATATTGGTCCACGAGTCCTGCTTTATAAGTGATGAACCTGTTTAAAGTTTGAAGAAGAGATACACATTTTTTATACAAATATTTACTACAACAACAATACATATATGTTTGGTACAAACAATGTTAGTTTCATAAAATTCATGATTTTGATTACTGATGCAAAAGCATAATTGATTACCATTCTGCCTACATACAAAATAAGGAAAAATATACATATGCACAGAAACTTTCCAAGAATGATCTACCACTTAGAATTGGGCAGTCTCCAAATTACATTCAGAAAGACCTTAAAACACATCTTTTTCACAGTTTGTAGTTGTAAGAACGTTTTTGTTCTTTGATTGTATTTTATTTTGATAAAATAAAAAGATATCTGAGCTATTTCTGTAGACAAACTAACCCTTTTTCCTTCTTTTCTTCACTCAACAATTCAGTCGACCTAACATTCCTGGCTATACTGGTTGCACCCATTGGAAGTCGGAGAAACCAGCTAATGTGAATGTACCCGTCCCACCACCACAGACTACAGCCAGAGTACACAGGTAAGCTCAATGAATAGTTAATATACAAATAATTCATGTTTGCGAGTGATTAGTGAATATACACTGTACGCAGGTTACATTTAAAGAGTTTTGAGAGGGCCTTCGGTCCTGAAAAGCGCTATATAAGAACTAGCTATTATTGTTATATGAGACTTGTCAAGTTCATTATCGGGCTCATGCATGGTCAGGACTAGCGCAAAGCTTTGTTGTCACCAGTTATTCTTACTTTTCACCAGTTATTCTTACTTTTCACCCATACCTTTTTAAAGACGAATCCAAACAATTACCATATGAATCTTTTTTATTCATAATTAAAGAATAACGCCCCCCCCCCCCCCAAAAAAAAAACAAAACAAAACAAAACAAAACACAACAACAGGAAAATAAGGATTTGATTTGAAATTTTAAAATGCACCCCTCCCCCCTCCTCCCCCCCCCCCCCCAACAAAAAAGATATTTAATATATGAAAAAATAGATTATCATGAGTTCAATTCTACATTGGAATTCAGAGACTTTGATGTTTATATGAGTTGAATCCCTCTTTAGTTTTGATGGCACAGTTTTGTATGTTTTTTTTGCTACAGAAATAGACATGTGGTGCCAGCTGTAAATTTGTCATTTCCTCTCTGTTCAACTCTTTATTTACCTTTAATTGTTGGAATCCATACCATGCCAAACTATTTTCAGTTTTATGTTTTTCATACAAACTGTACATGTGGCAAAGGCTTTGTAAAGCAGTCCATCTCTTGCAAAATCTGGGCCCCGTCTTATAAAGAGTTGCGATTGATCTCTTCTTATTTGCGATTGATATCAATCACAACTATGTACATAAGAGAGAGGAGACTGCAAACTTGCTATCGATATTAGGACTTGCAATTGATGTGGATCAGTTGCAACTCTTTATAAAATGGGCCCATGATGTACAAAAGAGTGTATCAATATTTTTATTTTTATTATTTTTTGTTTGTTTTCCAGGATTGATAGATACGACCCCAACCAGTCACCGTTCAAGAGGACGTCAAGGATGTCCAAGATGGTCACTTTGGTTCCGCCGTGCAACCCGTTCAACAAAGTGGACAACAATGAGAGGACACTAGAACAGTATAGATAAAGGTGTTAACACCAAGACAATTGATTGTGTAAAGTTATCAACACCATGAAAATAGTTTGTGTTAAGGTGTTAACACCAAAACAATTGTTGTGTAAAGGTGTTAACATCAAAACAGTTTTTTGTGTTAAGGTGTTAACACCAAAGCAATTGTTTTTGTAAAGTTATCAACACCATAAAAATAGTTGGTGTAAAGGTGTTAACACCCAAAAAATTGTTTGGGTAAAGGTGTTAACACCAAAATAATTGTTTGCCTAAAGGTGTCAACAGTGAACACCAAAACAATTGATTGTGTAAAGTTATCAACACCCTAAATATAGTTTGTATTAACGTTTTAACACCAAGAAAATTGTTTGTGTAAAGGTACACCAAAACAATTGTGGGAATTTTTTGATAAACTCTTGGGTTCGTATTCTGCTAATTCAGTAAAACCTGACACTAAGTCTAAAATCAAAAAGGAAAACTTAGACCTCAAATTAGCTTCCTTTGTTAAACCTTATTTTGGAAGAAAAAAGAAGCTTAAACACAGCGTCTGGTGTAAATGTTAGTAGAATATGAGCCTGTGCATTTTAACTGTCATGCAGTGATCAAAAGTATACAGTTAACAAATAAATTATTCATACCCCTTGTATTAAAATTTGATGATTTTTGTGTTTTTCGTAACTCAAGAATGATAGGTGGACCAGTTGGATTAGGGCTTTTGTTGAATACCGGTACTTGTAGATGTAAGCTTTCATATGCCACATTTTGAAGAAATGTAGATAGGGACAAATGAATTTTTTACATACACATGTACATGTAAAAGATAGAAGACTGGGTAAAGGAATGAATAATTTAGTTAACTGTATATGTTTATAAATTTCTGTAATATATTCTTCCAATGATATACTGTGCTATATAACATACTTGTTACGTGCCTCTCTATTTCTGCCTTGAATTACATGTACTAGAATGTACAATGAATAATTTCTTTATAGCAATACTTTTTTGCACCCATGTATTATGTAAATGCACTTGATCTATGCAATTCAAGCTAGTATGCCTTACAGTATTTGAACTGTGTTTTAGCTGCATTTAGCTGCATTTAGAAGTTGTCCTATTACGTAATTGTCTTCAAATTGTGCAATCGTGTGAAATCATGCAGTAGCATATATACCGGTATGTATACTTCATGAATGACCATATGAATGAATGAAAAGTTGAATTTTTCTATAAATTGTTTGTATTTTATATGTGATCATTTGCTAGAACTAATGTTATATGTCTATTCTCAACATTTACTGGACATTTGTGTGTGTGTGTGTGTGCAAAAAAAGCTGCCTTTTGAGAAATGTTTACAATAGAAATGCATTTCTATGCATTTGCAGGTTAGGATTGTCTGACAGCCAACTTTTTTTATTGTGTGATTGATTGAGTACCCTAGTGGTACCCATAGATTAAACTGGTTTATATTCCACATAATAAGAATCTTGCTCTATACGATTGGTCATAAGTAAATCACGTGATCAAAGATAGTTCGCCCATCATTGATGGGAGAAGCAAAGAGTTTGTTGCCCTTTGTAGATAGTACTACTATCTACAAAGGGAAACGCACTTTCACTGAAGATTATCCAAAAGCGCACTAAAATAGGCGTAATTAAGCGCGCATTACCAATGAGCGCAATTAAAGCAAACACATGCGCGCACCGTACCCTCAAGGGGTTGGGTTAAACTTTTAACCTTTTTGGCGTGAATTTTATTTGGGCCTGGTGTCTTTCATGTAGATGCATACACGTCCTTTTCTTGTTGTAGTTATATTGTTTTTAGATGTGGAATATAAAGCAAATAATCACCTTTTGGTTTCAGGCGATGGCAAACTATCACTTCCTCGTCGATCAGAATGTATACGCTATCTTTCCTCAGCTTCGCTTCGGAAAGATAGCTACATCCAGATCGCCTCGGAAGTGATAGTTTGTCCCATCACCTTCACCAACGGTAATTATTTGCTTATATGTATTTGGGTAATTGTTTTGCAAGCTAGTGTACTATCACATACCTGATGAAAATCTCAAATTGATATGAGACCCACAAAGGCTTGAACTAAAATTACATAGCGTATTAATCTAAATAGTTTATATAGTCTTAACTCACCACTTTAGTATTTTGAAGAAATATGCAAATTATATACAAAATATATGCAAATTTAGTGCAAATTGTATGCAATTATATGCTAATTTTATGCAAATTTCATGCTAATTTTATGTAAATTACTAGTGTCATTTAGTGCCATTAAAAATAAGGCATATATCAATATGTATGTAATTTCTTGGAATATTTAGATATCAATTACATCTGGGTAAAACAGGGTTTGAAATTTTTCAATTCAGAATTTCCACTAAAGAAATCAATTCTTAATTAGAATTTCATCAAAAATGTTAGTGTGTGTAAATTAAAATTACACATAGTATTAAATTCTGATATTATAAAATTATGTTGAGGTTATAATACGTTATAGATTGAGTTGTACAGAATATATAGATTACATACTGTACATTTATATGTGCATAAATTATGTTTTTTACTACACCAACTACATGTATGTTTTCTCTATTAACATGTCTTTCAGTAAGGAAATTGATAGAATCGCATCTTTAGAATCAGTTGTATATTCGACCCTTTTTTCTTTTCTTTTTTACTATCGAACCCTATATTTACTATTTAAGTCATTTTTTTACTATGAGATTACCATTTATAATGATAGTACATTATAATGAATCATTTGATATGTAATTTGTATATTATGCTGTGCAAGATTGCAGTGGAATATTGTGCGTAACTAATACCTGTTATGTGTAACATTGGTATGATTTGACATGTATATGCAATAAAGATCCGTCCATATAACTAAAGTTGTTCAAGTCTTGTTCTCCATTCTTGTACAACCATACTTATATGTACCATCCTTAAATACTTTGAAATCTGCGCTTAAAACCAACTTAAAACCAACTTAAAACCAGCACCATAAGTTGGTGGCCGCACACGACGACACACCTCCAGTTTAAACACCTTTGCGGCGTCGTTTGGAGGAATCCTACCAAGTACCAAGTACTATGAAAATAATTGTGTATAGCTAGAATGAACAAACTCGGCCTACAAAAAATAAATCACCTGGCATTCAATAGGCAAATGTGTTGAGGAGTTTAAAGAATTAGTCCTTGTTTTCACGAAGTGACGGTAGTGAGGAAAATCGTCACGCAAAGTCAATGCAATTTCTTCTCACTACCGTCACTTCGTGAAAACAGCGACGAATTAAGGTACAGAATAACACCAAACCTGGAGTATATATAGGGCTTGCACAGAACCCACATGACCCCATTTACACTTAAGGCTTGGGTTTCGTATACACCCTATTCTATGCATACACATGCATTAATACTACTGGTAGTCATTTCTCAATAAGACGTTTTACTGTTCACTGTAAAAGTATTTCAATGGCAATATCTCTTTGTATAAGTACTTTTGGAAGCACGTATTCTGAATACAGTATAGCCAAATGGAAACCCATACATCAAGAGCAAAACATGTTTTGGTGATTGGTTCACACCAAGTGTTAAGTTGTCGTGGCGAGTCTCATTCACACTCGACTCGGTTAAACTGCCTCTAAAAAAGAAACACCCAAACAAAATAGAAATCATAATTAGTATGAATGGATGAATGAAAAAAACAGGGTAAAGAAAAAAGTACTTGTAGCTGCACATAACTCTATTTTTGTAATAATATATATTTCTGAATTCAACCCTGGACAAAACACTAACTACACCTGACCCCAACCTTGAACTAAAAACCAAACCAAACCTCTATATCTGTGGTGAAATAAAACCTGTAGCAATACTATCACACAGATAATCTGCACATGTTGATGCATACATCCATACCATCTATACTACATCACAGGCACACCACATGGCTGTAGCCTGCAAGACCGATGATGCTGGTCTCATGACCCAAAACTTTATCATTTAGTCCACGAGACCAATGGCACACTCTCTAACAGCTAATGAGTCCAACACATTGGTTTTCACAAGACTTCCGATAGCTTTTCCGAGGGTGATCAAGAGACCTACAATATCTTGCGGGCTATATATGGTACATCTACTTGGTATGTTCCCATATATGCATACCGCTTCATATACATCAACATAAATGAAAAAGAAATCAACATGAAAACACAAACATGGTTTTTATCTTGTTTTATTGGTTGTTCACAGCATACATTTCTGTATAAATCATCTCTACAGTTCACAACAATCTTTCTCTCTTTTTTTTCTTTTATAATTTCATAGAAATTTTTAGTTTTAATCTATGCACTGATCAATACCCTTTATTCGTTCCCGTAATCTTGTTTTAAGTGTAAGCAGCACAAAATACATGAATAGCAAACATTGTTTGAAAATTACTCTTACTTTAGATTTTGTAACAAGGTGAACATTAGAACTCTGAACAGCATAATGAAAGAACACTTTGGCATTTCTTTTTCCAATTACAAGAAAACAACATGTAGATACATGTTAAACAAGTTACAAACACTGCATAGAAAACAGCCACACTTGAAGTTTAGTGGCAAATACAATAGCCTTGAATACAATTTCAAAAGAGCACAAAGAATTGAGTTTCACTTTTATTGCATTTTTTAAATGAATATTGAGATATTACAAACTGTCCCTGCAGAAGTTACAACCCCCCCCCCCCCCCATCCCCCGAGTACAAAAGTCCCGTTAGATACTGTATGCATCATGTAGTACTGTCAATCGTAATTAGTGGATTGCATATTTAATCAATTTTTTTGCATAAAACCTGGGTTTTCAGCCCAGCCCCAACCAACCAATGAGTTGGCATCAAGCTGTTGGTTAGAAGATTGAATAAAGGAGCTCAGATGCTCTAAATAGAAGAAATTCCTTCCTTATGATAAAAAGGTGTTGTTACAGTCTAATGGAGATACATGTAGAATGATCTCTCACTATTTTGGGACTAGTTTATCAATTCCAGACCCAGTGAGATGCATTTACACGACTGACAGCAGAAATGGTGGTTGTTAGACAAAAACTGCATTAATATTGTGATACTTGGATCATATACTTTCTTCCCTGCATTTATTATAATTCAGATTTCTATTCATTAATCTTAGTATTAAACATATTTGCCACACTTGAAGGCACAGTGATAACATTTAAAGCCTATTTTTCAATTATCAACTAGAATTAGTAGAAATTGTTTATTTCCTGTTTTAAGTACAATACATTTATCTTAAACATTTTTAACATCTAAAACCAGCAAAACAGGACCATCAGAAAACTTTTAACAATGAAACAAATGGTTGAACTTGAAAACAACTTTGATTGATATGATTTAGCAACGGTACATGACAACTGCAAATTTAGCATCAACAAACTATTCACTTATATTTGTCACTTTTATATAAAGTAACAAATGGCAAATCAAATATTTTTACTTTTACAATTAGATTCCACTCAAGCTTTCAGGCAAAAATGATTATTGTAACACTGATTTTTTCTTCTTGAAATTTTTGTCTTCATATGAGTAATACTATACAGAAATTCGCAACTCTATTTCCAGTATGAGATTACAGCCTTAACCTTTTATTTTAATAAAATGAATAACAACATTTTAACCTTAAACCTTAAACCTTTCCAAACCAATTGAACTTTCAATAACTTCTTGTCTTAAATGCTTGAAACACATCACCCCAAACCCAGCGGAGTCTAAACAGTCTCAGAATTAGAAAGTGTTATAACACAACGGAAGATCTTTGCAAACGAAAACAAAATGAACGGGAAAACACAAAATATAACCTTGCCAAAAGTTTGAACAAAATTTGAACTTTAACAGGACAACTGGGTGTGCACTTACATTACTTATCTTACTCCAAAATATGTCAAAATAAAATTCAAGTATTTTTTGAAAAGATATTCTTTCACTAAAAATTTCATCGTAGCAAAATAGGGACCACATTACATCGTACAAGGTCAGTTTAAAAATTTGCATATATAAAAAAGTAGACTATTTGACTTCAGTACAAAAACATTTCAAGTTGATTGACCTTTTTCAAAGAAATCAAGTCTTTCCAATACATGAGTGCAAGCGTCTTTTTCATACTTTTCATGATAATCTGCATTTTTACATCCATGGTTACATTCTTTCCTATTCAACAATCCCTATAAACTATGATTTTAATAAGCCGTTCCTGTTTGGACAACTTGCTACTACTATATTTCATCTTTATCATTACACTCATCATATTGAGTCGAAAGGAATTTGACATGTATATTGGCAAGTCTGTTAAACAACCCAATTTTTTTTAATAATCGTCATTCTGGCATTTAATTGGCTAAGCAATTTGAATGAAGACGTTTTTGTAGGTGTAATTGTTACAAAACACATTTCAGATTCATATCACCTACCACCATGACCTCTACATTGTCTGAAGGTTTCTCTTAAATTTCTTACACTTTTTGCTTTAAAGCTTAATTTTATCACAATTTTAATGACACTGTAGCTAAATTCACATGAATAATTTTCATCATTATAATTGTTACAAAAACACATTTCAGATTCATTCCTCCTACCCCGATAGTTTGACCTCTAAATTGTCTGATTTTCTCTTAAATGTATACAAATGTTCTACTTTAACGCTGAATTCTATAACAGTCATGACAGTGCAGCTTAAGTCACTAATTGTTTGACCTTTCAAAACATTTCAAGTACATATATATACAAATAGTCTTCTACAAAGATTTTATTACCTTTACCTCTCATATGAAACAAACGTCGCAGTTGAGCTGCAAAAGGTAATTAAGTCAGAGGCATTGTAAATAAATGTTTAGGTAGCATATTTTGAGTACCGGTAATACAAAATGAATATACCACATCTATAAAAGAAGCATCAGTTGATTTGACCCTTCTTATTTGATGATACCATATTCCATCAATTACATAATTTGACCAAATAACAAAATTAAATCTTACCACATTTCAAGTACTTTAGGTAAGTTTGTCCAAAAATTGAAGTGGGAATCGGCACTGCCATAAACTTGAAACTACAAACAAGTTACATGATCCATTTGTATTTCCCTTTGCGACCGACCCCAAAATCTTGAAGTCTATGGTCGGCGTTTTAAATTTTTTTTATTTTTTAAACCGATTTTTAGGAAAAAAAATGTATGAAAGCATAAAAACTGAGAAATATCAGCCCAAAGAGGAAGTAAAACAAAAAAGGAATTCAGACCGACCGGCCAACCCATATTTTGGCACCTAAGGGGCAATACCACTTTTTGTTTTAAAGGCCTTACATGCCAATCAGTTATACTGAATTGGGAGAGACCCCTATAGTCAGCGAAACTAGGTTATTTCCCAGGCGCATTTGACATCATTAGTTAATGATAATAATAAGTATGTTATATCTACTTTACGGTTCCAAGATGAAAGTTTGTTCTATTTCCTAATAATTTGTAGGAATCGGAAGCCTGATCACTTTAAATTCCAACGAAAGACATCATCTAATCTTTCTCTACAGAGCACTTATCGGTGGCTAGGATATACAAACTTTGTTTGTGACACAGAACAGCTGCAAACAATCAACATAAATGAATAGAGTTGTCATACCTAGACTAAACTAAATATATGTATCAAATATCATCTCCACAAGAATATATAATTTCTTTGTAATATATGTCGCATAGGATGCAACGAGTTGTACTGTAACAAATATGATAAACATAATCTCAATCGCACATGAAAGAGTTAAACATAGAAGTAGAACTAAAGCTAAACATAAATATGAAAGTACTTTTACATCATATATCCTTATTATTTCACACACAAAGTTTTATCATTTTCACCATCGTCTGTTTTTCATATTTTTTTGGTTTTCGTTCATTGCTCTTGCGTTTCTAACTACGTGTAGCTTACAAATCTGAACTACTGCATGTAGGCTTATATATTCAGACAAGCATATATTGGCTTTAGTAAATATGTAATCACACACTACTGAGAGGTCTTTTTTTATATCGATCATAGATTTAAGACTATTGATGACTATTCTACATGACTAATCATGAATATTCACGACTCTCTCATAACTATTCTAATGTATTGCATACCAGACATAAGCAATATATACATATCATGACGATGTGTACTTGGGATAATATGACATGCTTCGTAAGAGTAAATGTACTATTTTGTCTAAGTGAAGGCACCTTTGTTCAAAATCACAAAAACCTTGTTTCCTGAAGATTTAAAGCTTAGGAAGATGTACTTTTTCTTAAATGTTTCTTTGAGATATTTGCAGAACAAAAATATTACACAACTTATAAATCGTTTTAGAGCACATGCTAGTCGGGCACTTAGTAGTAAGTAGGAAGCATTACAAAATAGTTTGTAAAATTGTGACCTTTGTGTAATACTAGATTTTTTTCTCACTTGTTACAATTCAATGAAAGGCTGTTAGTATTTCTAACATAAACTTTGTTTGATATAATTACACATCAGTATGTTTCAGCCTCTTTGCAGCTTAGGAGCTGCAAACTGAGTAGGCAAGCCTCAGTGCAAAAGTATGCTTCTGTACTCATTAAAGTTCTATGTAAAGGGCATATTACCTAGCTATCAATTGTTTTAATAGAACTTCAAAACCCAAAGAAACCATGGTGTTTTGAAAGTGCTACCAACTGGTATTAAGCGTGAAGCAAAATACCATTGCAAATTAAACAAGGCATGTTGGTTTTTAGAGATATTATTCACAAGGGCAAGATTTTACACAAAAGCAAGCTCTTTGCTTCATTATTTCAGGCTTTATGGAAGGCACAGACATTTTTGAGAGGGGCAGAACAAATGAGATGAACATTAATATCTATTTACAAGAACATTAAATAGCTTGATTTCTGAATAGATGAATACTGTCTCTCTGTATTTTGTATGAGCACTTTACAAAATGTGGCAAGGAGCTAGCGATATTTTTAGACAAATGAATCATACTTCAGAGCACACTTTAGTGTAATTGTGTTACTACACTCGCAAGACTTAGCACAAGACATATAAATGATTCATTGGCACCTATCGTTTTATAATCTTGCACTCATATCTTAAATTTGCACATTGACTAACACCGCTGAGGGATGCGTTTAGACTTAGCGCAGAACGATTACACCAATCAAAAACCCGTAATTTTGCCGTCTCTATTAAAAGCCTCTCGCACAAAATGCTTTGATATTCCCTTTCAGCTGATCCAAAATTGCATCATGAATTCATGTTTAGAAAGAGGCATGGAAGACAATGAAAGGCACTATACCCTGATAGAAAAAAAGAAAAATATTATTTTAGTGATGTCACTCACTAAAATGTGTCAGATATCTATCTGACCTTCTGTGATCACGAGTTGAATATTGAATGAAATATATACAGCGTCTAAGAATTAATGTACTTTGATATGTCAAAAGAAAAGGCTTAGTTTCTACTTTACATTATATAAATCACAGTATACATTTTTTTTTGTCACCAGATAACTTTGAAATCACACCCAAGCATGGTAATAAAGGGTAATTAAGGCACGTGTTTAACCCTCATCAGCAAGTAAAGCACCATTTGGGTGGGACCTAGGGTGTACTAAATGGGCGGGGTGAAGTGATGGGGTTGGGTTACAGTACAGGGGATGCGTCACCAATCAGTTGTCCCCGCCTCCTGTGATATGGGTGGCATTTCCCATGTGGGTGGAGTTCACCATGTGGGCGGGGCCAGCCATGTGGGCGGCGCTAACCCCCATATGAGCCGTGCTGTTGAGGTTCATCATCAGCGCCTCGTCCATGCGGGGCGGGGCGGCCATCATCATGGTCGGGTAGCCCATGGGGGAGGTGCACGGTTGCCCGGGGATGTCCGTCCGGATCGTCTTGACGGCGCGGTCCCCGCGTCTCGGCATCTTGATGGGGCGCTTCCCGGTGAACTTGGGCGTGACCTTTTGGACGATGGAGGTCGGGATGGTGTTGGGGTCGTAGGAGGTGGTGTAGGTGGCCTGTTGGAGTTCAGTGGTTCCTAGGTAGGGCTGGTGACGGCTGATGACTTGGGTGGGCATATGATCAGCAGTCTGTACTACGGTGGTACCCTGTGGTAAAACAAACACGATTCAAACATGTCAAACACTATCACGTTAACTCTAGAAAACACACAATGTAATTAAAACTTGCCTGTACTAGTTTGGCCAGTGGGGACTAGACCACCCAGCGAGGTCACTGACAGGTGGCTATCTCATCAACTCGGCTCTCAATTAGCATAAGAAAAAGAGGATCATGGGGGACCAACAGGCACCGCTTAGGCATTGTTTTCTATGTAGAGGGAGCAAGTAGCTACAAGTAGTACAGAATAAAAATAGCCAACTAGTTATATATATATACGCAGGTAGTGCTTCACATTTCTTGCATTTGCTATAGATGAGTACACTAAAGAAGCCACTGTTACACACAGCAACTTTTTCCCATCCTCAATACTGTACTACACAGTTAAAACTTAAAAGACATCTACCATGTAAATAGTTTAGGAGACGATGTCTAAATAATTGTTACTTTTTCCACCGTACACCTTGCTACAAACAACTTTCAGTGTTATACAAAACGTGGCAATAAATGAATCCATGTTGATTTTAATGATTTTTAGGCTTTCTCTATTCTAAAATCATAAGATACACTAACAACATTTTATCAGTATAAATTACAAACAAAGTAGTTCAGCAAAATACACCAAAAGAGTCGTCCCCAATGCAAATTGCACAAATCGTTTTGAAAATTATATTTTCGTGGCAATGCAATTTAGACCAGTATTTCTAGGACATGGAAGTAATAAATACCTCTATTACCTTGATAAGACTCAATATTTCATAAAACTTTCATTTTCATACGTCAAATTACAAATTTACATTCACTGTTGGGCCTTTTTGCGCTACGGACGCACCTCTTTGTGCCATTACATTTCGCTATTGAAGCTACCCTAGAGTAAAAAGCACTACCAAATAGAATGTTAAAAGTAATGACAGCATCATTTGCATGCAGGTTTCAAAAGCCATTCATTCTCTAGTATGTCTCTTTCAACCATTCTGGAAGATCTATAAGAAAATCATTGGTCAACTCCACAATCCGCATGGTAGGTCTAATGATAATTCTTATTTTGCCACTCTCCACCCAGGTGTTAAATAGGTGCACACCTGGTAGGATGCGAATGTTAATGTGGTTGGATTGGAATTCATGTGTGCGCTTGTGATTGGCACCTGGTCGGAATACTCCCCAGGGAGAGAAGCGTGTACACTATCATGTGCAGATAACCAATTTCATGCTAGGTCTAATCCCAATTTTGGCACTCTCCACCCAGGTGGTCATAGGGACTTTTAGATTTGCACGTCGACAGCTTTGACTGCAATGTGTGACGTCATTTTAAGGCACTGCGCATGCGTCACGTCATCTCAGTCGGCGATCAAGAATGCGTCAACCTTGATTTTCCTAAATCTAGTACGATACTAGTATATATGCCGCGTGCGCATAAAATATACAGTTCCTCAGGTAGAGAAAGGAACATCCCTTCCCTGCTATTATGTATAATGTGTAGAACAGGTGTCACATGCATATTCACCTGTTCTACACATTTTTACTTAACCCTATTTAGCCTTAGCTTCTAAAGCCCCCCCTCGACATTTTTCGCGATAATTTTTTAACGCAAGAAAATCTTGCACTGAAATTTTGTGACTTTTTTCTTTCGAAAGAATTTTTTGAAAATCGGACCTACCATTACAAAATCACGTGTCCTTTTGTCTTTGCATGTCAGCCCGAAAATCGCTCATTTTTGTGATTTGTGTACAAAACATATATGGAAATCTCATTTTTTCAATTAAAGAGATAAAACATTGGTTATTTGGTCTTGTTTATAGTTAAGGTGTTTATTTTGGGGTCAAAATAGTTGAATTATAGTTGGAAATGAAATAAAACAACAAAAAAAAATAAAATACATAAGTTAAAAAAACAAATAAATACATAAGAAATTATCAAAACAATAGATAACATAAAGAAAAACCCTGGTTTTTCACTTTTTTGTGTTGTATTATTATTATTCCAAATGGTCTAACAAATATATGTAGTGAGAAAGAATGCTTAGATATGAATAATGTCTGATTTATTGGCAAAAATGTGAATTTGATGACCTTATTTCCATAAATTACCATAAATAAGGAAATGAGTGAATATTTCAAAAAATTGAAATTACCATAGTTTTCTATACACTTCACTTGACATGTATGCAAATTTTCGCAGCGATCGGTCGTTTCACGGCCGAGATCATGGGGGGGCCTTACAGGCCCCCCCGGGCTATGCAGTTTCAAAATAGCCCGGGCTAAATAGGGTTAAGAGCAGTGAAGGGATGTTCTACCACAGCAATTGTTGAGGGTAGAATGAGGAACTGTATATTTTGTCCTCCTTCTTTGTCCGTCACATTCATAGTGTTACTTCCGGCATGCATATATATCGTCGAGTGCAATATAAAAGATTTCTAAATGTAGTCAACATGGGCAGTTGAGTACGTTGACACTCATGATCAGTCGGCGTTCGTCGTGTTCTCGTCCACTCAATCTAAAAGTCCCTCATGGGTACCTAGTAGAATGCGACCGTTAATGTGGTTGGATTGGCATGTGTGCGCTTGTAAATGGCGCCTAGTCGGAATACTCCCCAGGGAGAGGAGCGTGTACACTATCATGTGCAGATAAGCAATTGCATGCTAGGTCTTATCCCAATTTTGGCACTCTCCACCCAGGTGGTAATGGGTACCCAGTAGAATGCGACCGTTAATGTGGTTGGATTGGCATGTGTGCGCTTGTAAATGACGCCTGGTCAACATTTTCATAAGTAGAGCAAACAACAATATGAACAGATGATAATGCAAAGCAAGTTCAGTAATATCACAGAAAAGTTCCACAAAGCTACAACAAATTACCACAAAAGATTAAAAAGGCAGTAACATGTTGAGTCACACATATGCTTGCAAATGACCAAAGGCATTTTTACAAAGCTAAATCACTCTAAACACAACAGATGAAGATGCAGTAACAGCTTGAATAATAAGGATGCTGTTCACACATATCTCACCTTTATCTATTGCTAATGGTATCTGTAACACTGAAACTTCAGAATGAAAAATCACCACAAATTATACAATTTGTTATTAATACTACTTATTAAAATAAAAGGCTATTTCTGTTTCACGATTTCAGGTAGGAATGCTGCCCAGTCCCAATGGAGAGAGTGCATTAATCAAAATGAATCATAATTCAATTGAATGATTGGGATTTAGTTTGAATATCAAATATCAATCTTTCTATGCCAGACATGTTATGAGACCTCAAAAACAAGCCGTGAGAAAGAAACGCTTAAAGGCCGTCTGTACTAGTGTGGACAGGAGAGATTAGACCATCCAACGAGGTCACTGACAGGTGTCTATCTCATCAACTCAGCTCTCAATTAACATAAGAAAAAGAGGATCATGGGGGACCAACAGTCTTCAAAGTGCATGGTTCTTGCACTTATTCTTATTTATGACATTTTCTAGTGCCCTTTTAGGACCTAAAATTGCTATGAAGGTTATTTCAGACCCCAAAATGTACAAAATTTAGCCAATACAATCATACCAATTCAGCTCTATTTTGTTTTAAAATACGGTGAACGTTAATGAATTAATTAATCAATAATGATAATACATTAGACGGCTGGTTGTTATTATAACTGACAGGAAAAAGCCAACATCGGCATTGGATGGAATAAAACGTATAAGGCGCTTTCCTGTTCTTCAACGGCTTTTTCAAACTATCTAATACTTGTGGTGGTACACAATATTATAAATGGTTATATTTATGGATATTTCAGCCATCTCTGAACCGATTTTGATCAAACAAAGATGATTTTGTCATTTAAATTGTATGTTTTTTCAAATTTGCCACTCAGTTTTTCCTTATCTCATTAAAAATTTGTGTAGCGCCCTCTGAAACAGAACTGAACTATCCCTTTAAAGTTTGCTATTAAACACAATGCCGTAATGGGCTATACCACTGGTTTATGGGGGTGTTTGCTTACCTCTGCTGCTGAGGGTTCCATGATAGGCACCTCTCCAATCTCTTGTGTCTGGTAATGGTGGGCCTGTTGGTAGATGACCTCATGGCTATGGGGCTGGGGAGGGTTGGGGTAGAGCGGGGAGACCGGTAGCATGCCGCCGTTCACCGCTGCTGCAGATGGGGCCTGAAGAAGCAAGGATTAGAGCACATAACTCGAGTCAGTAATCTTCTAGGCAGCATTTCACAAAACCATCATAAAAACAAATTTCTTCGACAACCAATTGAAATGCCTGGATTAAATTTATTATTATTATTATTATTATTTTATTTGGCAAATCAAGTCACATAATACAACAATATAACAAACATGAATTGAGATTAAAAAAATCAATAGAAAGCATATATAAATATTGCAATAGCAGGTGCATCCGGTCGAGCTGCCCGGGTATGGAAAAAGTTAACCAAATAACTGTGATCCGCAGACCTTCCTCCCCACACCCGACTAGATGCACCTGATATTGGTTAAAATAAAGCTTTAAAAAGAAAAGATAGATGAGAAGAAAATGGAGGAAAGAGGGAGAAAAAGAAAGGAAAAAAAACATTGCATGACAATTTTTTTAAAAGTTGTGATTTCATGACAGGTATGGTAACATATTATTACTGTTAATCATTAACACCATCATCACGTTGTAAAACATAAATATAATATCATTATCATTATCGTTATTAACATTATTACTACTACCGTTACTATCGTTTTTTAAAAAGTTGTGATTTCATGAAAGGTATAGTAACATATTATTACTGTTAATCATCAACACCATCATCACGTTGTAAAAAATAAATATAATATCATTATCATTATCGTTATTAACATTATTACTACTACCGTTACTATCATGATTATTATGATTATTATAATTTGTATCATTGACATCAATATTTATATTAAAACATCAACAACAAAATTAATTTTCATTGAGAATACAATTTCAACAACAACCAGTCTCGAAGCTATTGCACGATCATAATATGTACAGATAAAGGTAAGCCCTATATCATGTTTATGAAAATATTAAGATTCAGTAATACAATTTTGGAATGGTTTGGAATGGTTAAAATGGACTGTGTATTGTTTCAAATAAATATCATTATTGTTTCATATTATATAATGAAAAATGAAACACAAATTATACGGTATACATCACAGGTGGTTATTATGTGAATCATTTATAGAATTGAAGGATTATTTATATTCTATAAATGAATATAAACAGCAGCAATTAAACAACTAGCAATAAGAAAGCATAAACAGCATTAAAAGATCACACTGTTACAAATATGTATAAGCATATTCGTCATTATTATTAACATCATTTATATTATTGTTATTGCAATCATTATTATTGCTACGATTATATCATATAACTTTTACAATCATTATTAATATTATTAAGGAATATAATGTATAATACAACATGAATAAATATGGAATCATATATATATACAGATTTACAAGCCAGAGTTCAACACCTTCAAGTGGGAGCACCAAGTGCCAATTTGAGTCAATAGTACATCGTTACGAATATGTTGAGGAAGTGTGTCCCACAATCTGGGAAATGAGTTAATGGCTGACGAACGCAGTCTTTCAGTTCGAGCGAACAAATGTTTGAACTTCAGGTCGGTACTATACCTTGGGTTTACATTTATGGCGCTATTTACACTATCGCAGGATACATACATAAACAAACATTTGATAATGAATGTGATCAAAGTGAACTTCCGACGAGACTCAAGAGATGACCAGCGGAGGCGTCGCAACCTTTCCTCGTATGACATTTCCATTCTTCTTTGTTTAAGGATAATTCGGGTCGCTCTACGTTGAATACCTTCAATCTTACCGATTAAATTTTTCGTATACGGGGTCCAAACCGGTAGACCATACTCGAGTATGGGTAGAATAAGAGCTTTGTACAGACAAAGTGTAGCGTGGGAAGAGAGACCGGATGAAACACTAGAAAGCAGCCCAAGGAGCCGGTTGGCTCGTGAGACAATGTAGTTGACGTGACTATCCCAAGATAAGCGGTTATTTATCATGACACCTAAATATTTGGTCTCAGTTACTACATCAAGAAAAACGCTATTGATGCTGTACTCGGGAACACCTGGATTCTTAGCGCATGATATCCTCATGACTTTAGATTTTGAAGCGTTGAGACACATCTTGTTGTCTTGGCACCACTGATGAATACTATCGATGTCATTTTGGAGGTATTGGTGATCGACGGGAGCATACATGGGGCGAGAGATGACAGTGTCATCCGCGAATAATGCACATGAGGAGTCAATGTAGCGGGGCAGGTCATTGATGAACAAGTTAAATAGACAAGGACCTAATACGCTGCCCTGTGGGATACCGGATGTTGGTGAACTCCGTGAAGAGAAATATCCTTTGTACTGAACACGCTGTTGACGTCCAGACAGGAAAGACCGAATCCAGTACCATACATCACCAGTAACATTATATAATGAAGACAATTTGTGCAATAGAACATCGTGAGGCATGCGGTCGAAGGCTTTTGAAAAGTCGAAAAAGACTGCGTCAATACGGGGCGGGCGACGTTGATCTAAGATAGACATCCACTGGTGAGTAATGGTCAGAAGTTGGGTCACACATGATTTTTTAGATACAAAACCATGCTGGACCTGTGATGAAAGGCAATTCGATTCCATGTGATTGCAGATTGCCCTAGAAATGAACGATTCCATCAATTTACTAACAATGGACGTTAGTGCTACTGGACGATAATTTGTTACAAGCGACCGATCACCAGCTTTGAAAACAGGTGAGATATTAGCCTGTTTCCACGAAGATGGTAGAGATTGATGTCGAAGAAACAAGGCGAATAGACGCTGAAGAATTGGTGAGATAACTTTTACAGATTTCTTAAGCATCGTTGGCGTGATAGAATCAGGTCCCGGACTTTTCTTATCTTGTAGAAGCATTATAGCCTTTGCTATATCACTAGTAGATATCTCGACGGAACAAAGTGGAGGAATCAGATGAACACACGCGTCAGGAACGTTTGGTAAGTTACTAGGAGGAGGGTAAATAGACTGGAAGTAAGTTGCAAACCTTTCTGCAATGTCGTTTGGTTTATTGATGACGTTGTTGTTATCAACGAGGACCGGAGGGGCCAAGCTAGTCTTTCTTGACCTAACATAGGCAAAGAAACGTTTTTGGTTATCATTCAATGTAAACAGGTGGTTGACATACAACCAGTATGAACTGTTAATCATGCTCTTCGTTTTATTCCGGACTTCTTTGAACTTTATCCAGTCACCTGAACTATTAGAGCATTTAGCAATTGTGAAGAGCCTATGTTTCTTCCTAATAAGGCCCTTGATTTCTCGAGTGATCCACGCTTTTGTCTTCTTGGATCCGGATAACTTGTGTGGTATGGCATCACGGGAAGCTGCCAACAACAAATCAAGGAATCCTTCCCAAGTGGCATCAACATCATTAGGGTCAAAATACAGGTCCCAGGGAGCTAACTCCAACAATTGATTGAAATGGTCAAAGTCGGCTTTTTTGTAGAGGAGAAATTCGCGTAATGTACCCTTTCCAACGAATGGCTTGAGCAGTCTGAATCTAAAATAGATGGCGAGATGATCACTCGAAACTGGGTTAGGCTGAACATTAATAGAATCAAATAGATCTGGACGGTTAGTGTAGAAGTGGTCAATCATCGAACCAATTGTGGGGTCATGTGTTGACTGGCGTGTGACAGACTTCACTTCCTGAGACAGATCAGCTGCTTCCAACATGGACAACAGCCTAACAGCATCAGGTGCAACAGGATCCTTCACATCGATGTTAAAATCACCAGTCAGTATGATACCTCTGTGATTCAATGAGGACACCTGGATCTGGTCGATGTGGTCTTGAAGTCGATCCCAGAAGTCCGATAGGTTGCTTGGAGGTCTGTATAGTGCAGATACAATCCATTTTGAACCGTTTATGGATATCTCCGCTGATATATTTTCTAACTGTTGGTGGTCGAGATTTTCCAACCGTCTAGGGTTTAGACATGCTTTCAAGCACAAAAGAACACCACCACCGTGACGTACATCATTAACAGTTTCACGATCTCGTCGAAAGATGACATAGTCATCAGGGATCGAAAGTTCACTATCAGTACATGATGAATCCAGCCAGGTTTCCGTAATACAGATAATGTCAGGTCGAGTGCATTCTATGAAAGTTAACAAATCTATGCACTTGTGGCGTATACTTCGGGCATTGAATGATATTCCAGACAAGCAACGGTGCGTTGACAATCTGGTTTCCGTGGTAGAGGGTCCTGGATTGACTTCTATATCTCCACTACATATTATCGAGAGTTGAAATGTGACATATGAATTAGCGTAGTAGGGAATACGGGCTCCGTGGTACCCTCTGTGTAGACTACTTTGACACCGTACAGGTTCAAAGCGACGAGCAATGTCAGGGAACTTGTTCTTATGACCGTTTGAGAAATGATGCGCTGATTTTTCTTAACTGATCAAATGCATCTTTCAACTTAGTTCCCTGGAACACTGTTTTTGCTATCAAACTCCTTGGAACCAATAACATTACCTCTTTTTTACTTTTATTCTCTTGTTATATCAGGATTAAAAATAAACCAGAACACAAAGAGGGACCTGTAATTAGTGGGAGATCATTACACATGTGGGTAATGCAATTTGGCTTCACCTGTATGTCCGCAATACATGGGATAAAACTCTACTTATAGTGGTAACAAACAGGGGGACAGACCAAAGAACATAGCTTAAAGATAAACTTGAGTTCTGGTAATGCGATTGCATTGTGAAAGAAAAGGTGTGGAATGGATCAGAAAAGTTGATGATCATATAGCATGTAAGTAATGGTGTGTAATGCAAGGTTCTGGAGTCATCAAAATCATCATAAATTTGGCAGAGTCTTGGTAAAGTAACAATCACTTACACAGAAAGATGTATATGGGACAAAACACATGGTGTCGGGGCTAGTAGTACCTTGATTTCCTTATCTTTCTATGCTCATTACTCAGCCAGTATAAATTTTCTTCCAAAATTGTTTGGCACATGACATTTATTTGTAATCTTGAACATTCTGTGTAAGTTTCGTTACATTCTGTGAGAATTCATTTTCTTTTTTTACCAGAACTCAAGTTTATCTTTAAGTTTTATTCTGTAAAAATAAATGTTAACGGAATGAATGCCTGTCATCAGTAGTAGACTACTGGGAGGATGGAGTGTTGTAATGGCTTGTTCTTACCTGTGCAGGTACCCATCTCCACTGTGTCTGGTACTGTGGTGCAGGCTGAACAAAAATTGGAGAAAGATGTTGATACGTTGCATATCCAATACTAAAACATTCACATCTCAACTCAAAACATTTTTTCAAATTAGCATATCAATATACTAAAGGATAAGTTATGTTGCAATTTTTCTCTTAGTTTGTAAGAACTTCATTGTTTTCTATACCGGTGTATGCTTCTGTTTTAATACTCGTTTTCTATTTATGATCTAGTAATATTTCATATATGTGTATATTGTAAAGCGCATTGTAATGCCAACAGACATGAAGTGCGCTATAAAAGAACAAATTGTTATTATTATAATTATTTAATAATCTTCATGATCTCATGGAAAGGAAGGAGGGGAGGGGGAAAGAGTATCGTGGAAATACAATACATTGCTACATTATCATATTAGCCAATAAGTTACCAATGAAAGATAATTTTTGTTATAATAAGATTAGATAAAATTTCATTTCCAGTCTATGTAGAGGTGTCGTGGTCGAGTGGATAAGTCACCGGACTGTGGATCACAAGGTCCGCGGTTCAAGTCCCGCCGCGGCACTAATGTCCTTTGGCAAGACATTGATCTACATTTGCCACTCTCCACCCAGGTGTTAAAATGGGTACCCGGTAGGATGCGAAAGCTAATGTGGTTTGATTAGCAAGTGGCGCTTGTAAAATGGCGACCGGCTGGAATGCTCCCCAGGGAGTGGAGAATGTGCATACCTTGTGTGCGGGTAAGCCTGAATCCGATGACCGGGGTAATAATATGTTGTAAAGCGCTGTGATACACATGTATGTCTGTAAGAGCGCTATATAAATGCCAATATTATTATTTATTATTATATATACAATTAATTCAATTTCATTTCTTTCTGATTGACTTGAATACAATTGACATCAATTCAACCATTTCAATTTACTATCATAGATGAAACGAATTACTGGTCATGCCCCTGTGCACTGTCTACAATCTAATTTGAGTGGTCGATTTATCTGTGTTTACCTGTCTGACCGGTTGGGGCTGTTGGTAGGCAAACTGTTGATGTTGGTTTGTCATGTACTGCTGAGGGGTTGGAGGAGGCAGCATGAAGGGGACGGTGTACGGTGCATACTGGGGCTGCAAGAATGACAAAGAACAACTTTAGAATTTAAACTTTCTGCCCTAGCGTACTGTTCATTGCACAGCGCCATCTCATAGTCAACTTGCCGGCAGGGCATAACCCATACCTGCCAACATTTCAAAATAAGAATTAGGAATTTTTAGCACGGTATGCCTTTGAAAATTAAAATTCGCACCTGCAGTGGCAGTGTAACTGGCGATACGCGGTAAATCTGTACCAAAAAGCGAATACACATTTGCTGCTCGATCATACAGCCATTCAACGCACACAATATGGGAACTCTCAAATCACGGCACATGATAAAACAAGCTTAATTTGGCTCTAGCACTAAATTTTAAATAAATAAATACATTTTGAAAAATCTGAATATTCCGGATTTTCAGGTCCTAGAAATCCAGAAAAACAGAATATACCGTATTAGTTGTAAGGGTTGGCAGGTATGCATAACCCAATACCTAATTTCCACTTCGCAGACAGAGGACTCGATGCGAGAACCAACAGCGCAGCTATAGGGATACAGCGAGTTAAAGGACCATACTGCTACAGCTGACCTGAGATGGCGCTAAAGGGGATTTTGTGATAGTGCTTCTAGTACATTACAACTTTATCTTTAAAGGTATAGACCAGTTCTGGTCATGCAATTGCATTGTGAAAGAAACGTTGTGGAATTGATCAGAAAATTTGATCATCCAGCACATAAGTATTGGTGTGTACTGCAAGGTTCTGGAATCACTTAAAAGATAAGAAATTTGGCCCAGCTTTAGTAACGTTACAAGCACTGTACACAGAAAGATGTATATGGGACTGTGCGATATTTATCCAGTCCAGATAGATAAAATAATTCACTAAATATATCAATTAGTAGGCGTTTCCCGGCAAAATTTGTATCATCACGTATGATTCAAAACATATTCTTTCACAAGATTGGTAATAAGAGCTTACATTCCATTTTTTGAGAGGGGGGCGTTTCCAAAACTGGTCTATACTTTTAAGGGTGTGTAATGGGATCTTCTTTGGAAAGAATTTACCTGTGCTTGCTGCTGATGATGATGATGTGCAGCTATCGTTGTCTGTACTGGATGACCTGGATGACCGTGCGTAGCCGCCTGTGCGTCCGAAGGATTGAAGTACGCCACTCCGTTGTGGTACGTGTAGCTGTACCCACCGCTCGGTGAATGGAAGACCATCCCGCTTGGAATAAGGGCTGGGTCTGTAACAAACCAAGACAACGTTGGTTCACAACAAAAGTTTTCAGAAATACAGATAATGAATTGTAAATTTACACAGAGCAGAGATGATATTTTGGGGACAAGGAGAGGAAGGATGCAACATGCCAAGAATTGTGGTAGTGGAGGTGACCAGCAAAGTCTCTTTGATGGTATCCCCCCCCCCCCCCCCACCGCCTTCCCTAGCCCCCCATAAAGATATTTTGCCTCTTCAGAATTAAAAGTTTGCTTTCTATCAAAACATATACAAGTAAATTTGCAAGGGAGCAGTGACCAAGTGAGAGTATACTATTAGTTCTTGCAAATTCATTTTTAGGTGATTGTTTCAATGGGGGAGGGGGGGGGGGGGGGGGGGGGGCTGGATGCAGGGTGGTTGACCTCTGAGTTTGTATTTAGCTTTAGGTATCTTAGCAAAATGCACCGAAAGACGCGTCCGGAACGCAAATGGCATAATAGTGATATCCTACCTCTGTGTGATGAAATCATCATTTCAAACAATTATGCATTTTGCATTCCGGATGTGTCTGTAGGCTAACAAATATAGCTGAAATACCTTGCAGATAATGTTGCATTCTTCAACACAACACTCAAAACTTACAATTAAATCTCAGGCTACGGCATTTGAATCATTATCATTTTTTTTTCTGGTTCAATCATACAGTTAAAAATTGATAGATCACATATATTGTTTTCTTTTTTAATTAAAGGCCATGTACTAGTTTGGCTAGGAGGGATTAGACCACCCATGGTGGTCACTTACAGGTGGCTATCTCATCAACTCAGCTCTCAGTTTAACATAAGAAAAAGAGGATCATGGGGGGCCAACAGTCACCGATTAGGCATTGTTCTCTATATACAGGCAGCAAGCTAGTAGCTGCAAGTAGTACAGTAGGGCTTTAAAGCTGAAAGTGAAATATCAAGCCGTTTAACATTTTTGCAAAGCACACACAGGGGAAACATGCAAAAAATCTGCTCGAAAAAAGTGCAATAAAATGCTGTAACTCACCAACATCTTTGGGGTATTTGAGAGGCTGAAAAATGAATGAAAACAGGGAAAAACTTGTCAACAAACAAATCAACCTGAAAATCTGACTAAAACATTGTCAGCAGATTTCTGCAAATATTGGTAATTCTATGATGGAAGCATCAAACTAATAACAGCACAAGTCTATTAAACAGGGTTTCAATACAAAGTTGCCAGTGTTTGATATGTGGGATCAAAGCTATCACAGTTGTGATGTACATGCATTAACACGTGCTTTATACGTTTGTATAGTCTTGAGAGTTTGAACATTCTGTAAAGGAGTCCGAAGTTTATGACAATGAGAATGTAGGAAAACGCCAGTCCCAATTAAAGGGATAGGGTATCTTTGTCTCAGACTCTGAAACAAAATCGTGGATTTAGCTCATGCTGCAATGATTATCAAGATATTTATGATTGGAAATCGAAATCAGATTTGCGTTTTTTATAACACTACAGTCTATTGGTGAAAATGAGTATGGTAAAACCAGTCACTCAAAGATTTTTACTTTTTTCAGGCACTTTCATGACTGTAAAATTGAGAGCTGGCAACAAAAAACAGGTTTGATCAAATTCCGGACAGTATGTACTTTTATGCATACTTAGAAGCTGGACTAATTCAATACTATGTATAGCTGGCATCGATGTGTATAGAATATGAGAAGAAAATGGATAAAAATTGAACTAGAAAGCAACACCTGCAATTGCCAATACTATGAATACTGTTAAAAAGCTCATGCAAGGACTTTACTTTATTTGAGTTCCCACTTTATGGAAGTCCAAAACTCACAATTTTAGGTACGGTACTCTATTTTCCATGCCCCCCAAAAAATGCTTTCCTCTTCTCCTCCTCCCCCCCCCCCCCCCCCCACCCCCCTCATGCAAAAAAAATGGTGATAAAAATTTGTCACTGAATATTTACAAATCATTCAGACAAAAGAATAATCCCTAAATCCTTTTGAATTATGTCCATTGACCAGCATGCATGAAGGGCGTTTTCCATTTGGCAACCATGGAAGGGTTTTCCTTATAACAGGCCCCTATTCAGTATTACAGTGTGCTCGGGCAGTAATGCTTGATTGACATAATTATATACATGTATGTCAGTGTCATGTGACCATCACTCTACAGATTGACTACATGTAAGAGGGATACTAATCTCATACATGCCAACATTTGAAAATCAGAAATCTGTACAAATTATGTTATTTTAAAAAAAAAGAGGAACAATCCTAACTCTCCTATTCAATACTACAGACAAATTTGTACAGGAAGAGGAACACCTGCATTAAAATGATAATTATCTTCTCCCAAAAAGAGGAATGTTCCTCTTTAATCTGAACAGTTGGCATGTATGTAATCTGCCTATGGGGGTAACAATAAGCATTGAAACAGCTGATGAGGTTGATCTATATAAGAAACACAATTGGCAATACTACAAAAAATAAGCAGAAACATTGAAAATCATGCATAAATTCAGTGCAAAATCGAAAACAAACTCTAAATTGCAAATTTTTCTTACCTGCTTTCTAATTGCTTGCCCAATGTTCAGCTTCTTTTCTTTGAAAACTAAACAGTTTGCCTGATGAATAAACAAATAAATAACAAGGAGGAAAACAAAGACCACATTACACTTCATATCTAATTATCGATACAGATAAATGGACAGGCGGATAGAGACAAAAGAAAGGGAGAGTAAGAGAGAGAGAGAGAGAGAGAGAGAGGGAGAGAGATAGAGAGAGAGAGGGGAAAAGAGACAGACAGACAGACAGAGATACAGAAACAGAGTATGAAGGAAACATTCCCCTTTCAGAAATCGAACTAAAATAACATTTTGAATACAGGGAATAATTTTCCTGGTATCGCATCGCAATTTGCCATGCATTTTTGCATGACTGCTATACAAAATATCTTTTGTGTAGCAGTGAAATATTTATCCATCGACTGAAATTGCTAATCAAAAAATTTGAGGAAAATTATTCCCTGGAATATACAGATTAAGTTTATCAGAGAATAAGGTTATCATATAATCATATCTAATCAATAGCACTTGGCACTTTTTGTAATGTTGTAACAATTGTGTTGATGAATTTCATATCTAATTGTTTCATGCCCTTCCAGTGATATGGGCAAATATACATTAAGTACAACGTGTACGTACATGTATTTGCTTTATAAGCCTTCAATTATCATCATTACCTGATCTTTTAGAATTCTATGTGCTTCCTCTGGCGTCTCGAATGTGATGAATCCATACCTGGAGAAGAACGAAAAGAAAACAATGAGGGAGGCATGCATGTTGTTTATAAATCATCCTTACAATTAAAATTATTTAATCTTGACCACAAGAGCTGTAATTGTAAACACCCCATAAAAGTGCAGTGAAAAATAGGTCAAGTACATGTACATGTACGTGTAGGCAACCATAACGTCTCTTCCTCATGTCACATACCACACATGTACATTGTAGTTACTGTATATAGCATTGTGCTGCCCTAGCTGGTACAAGTGAGTTAATAAATGTAGTATGCTCAAGCAATCATAGCATCATATTCAGTACTGGGAGGAGATGTGACAGACAAACACAGCTGGTTTTAAAGGGGGTGATCAAGTCGCGTTACAATGAGATTTATCTAATCAAAAGATACCAAGGGTTAGGACTAGGATTGCCATAGGGTTTTAAATTATGTTTTAAATACAGTAGGAGTTGTATAAGGGATACATGTACATGTACAAGTGTAGTTTACTGTCCAAGATTAAAGTTAGAATTTGGTTACTATTCAAACAAACAGTATCGACCATGAGCAATCATTGCCTGAGCATGTTGCATCCAAAAAATCATTCACGTCCAAGGTTGCAAGATGTTTCCCCTTTGTATTGTTGTAGGCCTATTTATACATTGCAGGCCTTAAATTTCGTCATTTTTAGGGCAAGGCCAGTTTGGCCTTGAGTACCTCATATTTTTAAGGGCACCAAGGCCAAAATATTTTTACAAAAAGGGCATCGAGGCCAAAATATTTTACAAAAAGGGCATCGAGTATGAGGCCAAAAAAATTGATTCTATTTTTGTTAGATGTCATGTGTATTTTATGAAACTTGTGCGGGATCAATTTCCCATGACTTTAGCACCAGCTTCTTCACAGAATGTATAGAGGTCTACGGTACATACAAACAAGGCGGCGGCCCGCAAGCCTTAGATTTAGCAGCCAGGAGCAAGGGGCATTTTTTTTTTAAGTTGCCCTTTGCCACGGGAATTTACCAGAGCAAGGGGCAATTTTCCAAAAACAGATAGGCCCCTTATCTAATCATAAGTTCAAAGAGAGTCTACAAATGTTAATTTCATAATGTGAATAGATCTAGATCGAACGATCAATTTAATAACTTTTTAATCTTAACAATATGAACAGGAAAAATTGATTAAGAACATCAAACTTGCACATTAAACAGTATTTTAAAGTAACTAAAAATATTGATGAGCAAATGAATAAATAAATTGTCAATTTCACAAACATCGAAAGTCAGAAGGACTTAGCAAGTTTACCGGGCCGGGTATCCCAAATCAAAATCGCACCTCACACACAAACCTTCCGCCACTCTCTCGGTAGTAATAGTATCTAGGAGCAAATTTGAAGAAATTATCTTTTTAACTGTTGTATAGAAAGGTCTAGATAGGCCTAAATAAGATGTAAAAATGTCCTTATAGACATTCGACAGCTGAAAGTGACACGCTCAGCTCAGTTGCGTAACGTGCATTCACGAAACCAAAATCGTTCCTCGCACACACACTCTCGCCACTTTTGGTGGGAAGCTGTCGGGCTGGAAGTTTGCCAGCGAAACCGATGCACCCTCGGAATTTTACCGGGACTCGAAACGTTCGTCTTGGGAAGCTGGCGGGGTAGCTTTTTGAAGCGAGGTCGGCTGGTGGCAAAATGAGAGTAATTACGATCGAGAACATCGTAGGTGTTCTTAACTTATTAATAAGATAATTCTAAATTCTATTTGAGATAAAATAATAAACTAGACCTACAAACAAACCTCGACAGATCTCTAATGACTATTTGAATGCTTGTTTATTTCTCCATTTGACGATTTGTTTTCTTGATCCTGGCCGGCCTGGCCTTCGGTTTCTACGTACGCACGTGCGTGCGTCAACAGCATGCACCATATGCATATCATGCGATCGCATGAACGTACGTGCGCTAGCGCATTGCCTATATAATAACAAAGGGCGCATTTTCACGGCACTTACGCCTTATTAAAGCACTAAATACGAAGCTAGAAGAGAGCTCGTGGGCGGCAAACTGTTCGTGATTCGTGTATTTTTACTGTTCTAATAATTTATGGGCGCATTTTCACGGAAAACACTTGCGCCTTGCCGTCTAGTTTTAGATGATTATGGGCGCAATTGGTGGTTTTATGTGCGCAAATTTAAAAAAAAAGGGCACGTCGAGTTGGAAAAAAAGGCACGTCGGCCAGTTTGAAAAAAAGGGCACGGCCTTTTTGGCCGTGAATTTATCTTTTTTTGGGAGGGCACCGCGGCCAGTCATAGGGGCATCGACGGCCTGGCCGTCGATGGCCGTCGATTAATTTAAGGCCTGCATTGTGAAAAAAATCATCATATGTTTTGACCGCCATTTAGACTACTGGGAATACCAATTAAAAAACATTGGTGATCGCATGGAAACGAGGAGAGTCACGTGACTAAAAAATGGAATCGTACCGAAGATTCAAGAGCAGGCATTTAAACTGTAAAAGCTTTTGTACACACACAAACAAAAAACTTTTAACATAAAAAGTGTACAGTACATCGCAACGGGCAGCATTGTTGACAGAGAATACAGCAAAGAAATTTAGAGCCTATTAACTGTCTATACTCTCCTTCGTTACATCTACAATGTACATGTAATAGCTTATTTTCCTTACAATTAAGTCTAGTTTGGATACAAAGAATGATTAATTGATTGATGATTAAAAAGATTAGATGTGCCATTAAACCTCTGGCAAGCTATTTTTTGTCAGTGATATGAGTAGAAGCGGACCTACATGTACTGACTATGCACTGTTAGTACAGGGTCCATCTGTCTCTTGGCATTAGGTGCCTTGCTGATAGACTGCGGAGGGAGAGTCAAGAAAGTTTGGGGTCAATGACCTCTGATGGCATTACAGACAAGCTGAGAGGCTGCATTCCTTGTATACATCTGACATGTTCTTAATACCAAGCAATGATCTAGCAGTCTCTATTGGAAGTATGCAGTATACAAATGTACATTACCATGACTCATTCAAGTTGGCTTTCCTCTTGAAAGAAAATTATATTTGTTTGGGAGTAATGATGCATAAAAGAAAGAAAGAGAAGGTACAATGTAGATTAAATGAACGAGTGAGCCTGACACGAGATGGCTCAGTGGAATAGCAGTGGTCTTGTAACTTGGAGGTTCCGGGTTCAAAACCAATTTGACACGCACTTAGGGGTCGTAAAAAGATGAAGGTCCTACAACCCCTCCCACACCCTCGCCCCACTCGCAGAGGTGGCGCGATGGCTCAGTGGTAGAGTAGTGGTCACATTACCGGTGCTGGGTTCAAAACCAAGTCAATGCAGTCGTGCCCTTTGGTAAGGCATTAATCCTCATTACCAAGTCCCTTGGAGAGAGGACTTAAGCCATCAGTCCCCTGGTGACTTACTTACGAATATACTTTCTAAGCAGTCAGGTAAAACAAACCAACCAACCAAGCTAGTACCGGTACTCACTAGGGAAAAAAGTAATATTTATTTTTCGGGGGCTACTTTTCAAGCTTGCCTGCATGAAAATAACATTCTAAAATTTGTTTTGCATTGAACTCTATGCAAATTTACGAGGGCTCTTTTCTGATTTTCGAGGCCTATTTCGCCCCGAGCTCCCGTGTATTTTTTTCAATGGTACTCACCCTTTGGATACTCCTGCTCTATCTGCAATAATCTTGGCCTCTTTGACATGACCAAAGGCCGAGAAGAAATTCCTGAGCTCTGCGTCGCTTGTCTGCTGAAAAGTAAAATTCCAAGATGGATTAGTAAACTTGGGTGAATATCATCATGCCTCCTTGATACCCCCTCTCTCTCTCCCAATCTTAAAGGTAAAGACCAGTTCTGGTCATGCGATAGAATTGTGAAAGAAACGTTGTGGAATCAATCAGGAAAGGTTGATCATCTACAGTACATGTAGCATATAAATATTGGTGTGTACATGTACTGCAAGGTTCTGGAATCATCAAAATGATAAAAAATTTGGTCCAGTCTTGGTAAAGTTATGAGCACTGTACACAGAAAGATGTATATGGGACTACACGACACGTGCACGATATCTATCAGGTCCGGATAGATATAATAATTTACCAAATATATCAACTAGTAGGCTGTTTCCCGGCAAAATTTGTATCATCACATATTAGTCAAAACATATTCACATGATTGGTAATAAGAGTTTCCATTTCATATTTTGAGAGGGGGGTGTTTCCAAAACCGATCTTTACCTTTAATATCCAGCCCTTTAAATAGTTACATTCTTATTATTGGTTCGGTTTATTTCAAACTTTCATCATTCCGCTTATCTAAATTTTCTGCTTCATGCACATGAACTTATTAACTGGGGTTAGATTGCCCTTTAACTTTTTTTAAGGTAACTGAGGCATCGTATTACATGCACCATCTTTAGATCTACACATGCACATGTAGGGTGGAAGTTAGAAGCTTGATTTAGACTGCAAAGTAATTGTCACTGGACTGTATATTGTAGAATGTAGAGCCATTCTGCAACACGAAAGTGCATTCCATAGGTTAACATCTACCCCGGATAGCACACTCCTTCACACATTTTCACATACAATGCGTACATAAAGGAGTGGGATGTGTATCAAAGCGACCTAAATACTTAGAACATAACATACTCTCCATGCTACAGTGCAGTAACCAATTTGAAACACAAAGACAGGACAGCTACAACAACTAAATGTTATGATGGGTTCATGAGCATGTAGTCTTTGCTTTCAGACCACAAAATTAAAATTTGACTATCTTTCTTCTAGGTGCAATTAAAGACAAACTCAACTACTTGTGAGTAATAATTTCTGCACAAAATATAAAGTGATTCGTTAAGTCTCTGATACTTTAAAAAAGCTTGATGCAGAGAAAGTAGACAACATCAATGTTGCTTGCTTCTTAAATGAGGGGGTTAAATCATTAAAAACTTTACAATTCTTCTGTGTTAGTATTTAACATACAACGATGTGTTTTTTTCTCTTTTTCTCTAGTTCCCTCAGGGTTAACAGGGTATGACCGCTTAATGCATGTTACATGAACAACCAATAAAAGAATTTTTAAAAATTAGCTTGTGGGGGAAAGGGGGGGGGGGGGGTATCATGATCAGACTGAAATTATGACTTTTGCTCATGAGTATCAAATCAAATTTCCTGATGATAACATAAATCTAGAATGGCTTTTCTGTATAGCTTTTTACAAACTGTTACAAACTCAGATTGATTTGTTGGGAATGAAGCATGTTTCTACTCAAACAAACTGTCTGAAAACGAAGATTAGGCCAGCTACATACATACACTGTACATAGGGATCATACTCATATCAAGGTCACATGCTTGTTCATATCGTTTTGATTGATATTACCTTACACAGACAGATCCAATGCCTCATAACAACAAAACATTTGACATCACCCATACACAAACACTGATGCAAGGGCAAGTGGGATTACATGTACATTCCTTGTCTATGTACAGTGTACATGTACATACTACATGTACAAGAATGAGAAAGTTCACAATTAATTTTTCACCATTAAAAGAACTCGGCCTTCTCTCAATAGGGTCTGCTAACACAGACTCTATTGCTAGACCAGCTACATGGGGATCATACTTCAAGCTTTACATGCTTGCTCATAACGTTTTGATTGATATTAGTACAGACAACATTCAACACCGGCTCATCACAACAAAGCATTGGACATCACCCACACACAAACACAGATGCAAGGACGAGAGGGATTACATTCCTTGTCCATGGATGTACAAGAATGAGAAAGTTCACAATTTATTTTTCATCTTTAAACGAACTCGACCTTCTTTTATAAATAGGGTCTGCTGACGAAGACTGCATGACTAGACCAGCTACATGGGGGTCATACTTCAAGCTTTACATGCTTGCTCATCTCCAAGTGATTGATATTACCTTACACAGACAGATCCAATGCCGGCTCATCACAACAAAATATTGGACATCACCCATACGCACACTGGTGCAAGGGAAGAAGGGATTACATTCCATGTCACAAGAAGGAGAAAGTTCACTCAACCTTCTCTTACTATAAGGTCTGTTAATGAAGATTATGTTGTATGTATTGTAGGGGTCGTACATTCTACACATACATGTACTTCCAAGGTTAAATGCTTGTTTTGATTGATATTACCTTTACACATACAGATTCACTGCCTCATCAAAACATCACCCACACACACATTGATCAAGAGAAAGAGGCTTTACATTCCATTACATACATGTACAAAAGATGTTTGTTCCTGCAGATTTTTTCTGCAGTGCCGAAGAGTTTTTGTGTCCATTTAAACAATGGAACAAATCAATACAAGCCAAAGTTAAAGATAAAGTTAAGTTCTGGGCATCGATTGCATTGTGAAAGAAACGTTGTGAAATCGGTCAGAAAAGGTTGACCATCTAGCATATTTAAGTATTAATGTGTACTGCAAGGTTCTGGAATCATCAAAATCATAAGAAATTTGGCCCAGTCTCGGTAAAGTTACAAGCACTGTACACAGAAATATGGGACTACACAAACATGTGGCATAAAAATCTGTCCGAATATTTTTCATGCCATATTTAGAATATTAAGGCATTTGAAGAGCCATGCTTTTCAGGGAACATTTTTTTAATCTGTATTTGTTCCACACTTGCACGATAACAATGATAACGTTCACAAACTATTTTCTCCTCTTCCCAGAACTCAACCTTCTCTTTAATGCTTAAAAGTTCAAAGCACTCTAGGAAGAAAACTTTTAAAGTATTGGTATTTTTAAGTATTGTTATGTTGTTTATGTTTGTTACCATGACATTTTACACTTGAACATGAAGTTAGGACTACGAAACACAGCAGAAAGGTAAGATACACAGATGTTGTATCACTTAGAACCTGAACATGTAACATTCATTACACAACCTTTTTAATTATGCACTTATCATGACACATTTTGATATTGTAAACGCTTTACCATAAAACACGAAATATACTATTTCACAGAATTGGTAACTATTTATACTCACATTAAATGCAATTCCACCGACGAATATCCTGTTTGGAATGATGGTTCCATATCTTGGTGCATTGGGTGCACCGGTTACTGGAGAGGGGGCTTGTGAGCTGCCTGCACTCTCAAGGGTTGGCTACAGAAAGAAAAAAACAATTTAAAGACTGTCAATACTACTGGGCCAGAAGGGATTAGACCACCCAGCCAGGTCACTGACAGGTGGCTATCTCATCAACTCAACTTTCAACTAACATAAGAAAGAGAGGATCATGGGGGACCAACAGGCACCGATTATATAGAGGGAGCAAGTAGCTACAAGTAGGACATTGGGGCTTTAAAGGAAGAAAATGTTTTCATCAAGAGAAATAAAATATTCAACTTTGCCTCCTCCTTCTTAAAATCTTCCTTCTTTTAATTATTATTCTCCTCCTCTCCTTTCTTCTACTTGTTCTTCTAAGGGTGCGTTTATGCTCAATTTTGAAGGCAGAATGAGCGATTTGAAACGTTCATCGTAATCGCTGTGACGGTTCCACGGTGTACTGTTTATGCTCCCTTCTCTAGGCCAATTCGGGCTCTGTAGGCCTATCTGGATTCGCATGCTATGTTGACCTACGGTGGGCAGGTCAAGTTTTGGCATAGGCAGGTGCACTGTATAATCAAGGAGATACAAAGCAGATGATGATGCAATGGGTAGGCCTTCCCCATGTTAGCCAAATGAAATGCTTTGTAGGCACTGCACCGGCAGGAGCATGCATTTATGCAGGTCAGGCCACGTGTATGCGATTATTGCGATATGCGTTCAAATAAAAAGAAGAAGAAAAAGAATATATGTACACAAACAAGAAAAATAACATTTTAAAAATAGAAGGAAAAAATAATCTCAAAATAGAATAAAAAAGACTAGACCCTATATTGAAAATATATCATCTAACATAGTAGTTATCTTTAAAAAAAATTAAAAAAAAGTTTATTTTCTTTAGCACATTAGATCTATATCTATTAACCCTTCTTCTTCTTCTCTCATTTCTAATTCTTTGTTTATTCCTCCTCCTCAGTTTTGCCCTCCATCTTAATGTTCTCAAATGTCTTTCTTCTCCTCCTCCTTCTCCCCTATTCCTACTCCTCCTCTTTCTTCGTAACTTCCTCTCCTCCTCATATTTTTTCTTTAAAATGCAAATCATTTCTGTTAATACATGTACCTCAGTCCGAGACCAACACCACACCGACTGTCTACAGACCAAAAAACATTACAGACCTGTGCATTACCTGCAAAGGCTGCAATAAATGGCCATAAATGAATTCATTTGGTCTGGAGTTGATCTGAGCCTGTAAGACAAAGATTTGGAATCAATTGCAAATTAAAAATGATGATTCTGATTGGTTAAGGCCATTAAACAAAATATACATGTTTAGCGTCCCCACCCGCTTTCCTTTTTGGGGCCGCCTCCTATTTTTTTGGGGGGGGGGAATTTTTGATTTTTTTTTTTAAATTTATTTATTCTTTTAAAGAAAAAAAAACATGAAAACCACTGCTAAAATGGATCTAGACCTATTTCTGATTTTAAAAAAACCCAGTAAGATAGCTCTTTTCATCTTGAAAAATAGCCCCACTGTCGGGGAAAATGTACCGAGCGGCCATTTTGAGTGGCCATTTTGAAAAAGAAAAAAAAGGGCCTCCTTCCTATTTTTCAAAAAAAATGGACGCTAAACATGTTTGTTTTTTTGTTGGTCTAATGGTCAGCCTTTTGATCAATACAGCCAGGCATGCAACATTGATCTTGATTGGTCATTTTCATTTTGCAATTGATTGCAAACTTTTCTGTTACGACCCTGGAGTCAGTATTGACAGTGTGACTGAGGTAGGGTCTAGACCGGTACTACAGGGAAAATATTTATTTTTCGGGGGCTACTTTTCAAGCTCGCCTGCATAAAAATAACACTCTAAAATTTGTTTTGCATTGAACTCAATGCAAATTTACTGGGGCTCTGTTCTGAATTTCGGGGGCTCTTTTAGACATTTCGGGGGCAAATTCGCCCTGAGCCCCCATGTATTTTTTTTTCACTGACCGGTAGTTGCTTTTCCTCATATTTTTCTGATTTCATGTGCCAATAAAAAATATTGAATAATTTACATGAGGCGGGCTTGAAAAAAGAAGCAAGAAGGGGCCAGTTTCGACACAACTTCTCTGGCTCTGCTCATCACTCATCAGGGTAGCAGTTCACGAAAACCGTCAATCGTCATAACAATTAATAATTAGGGCCTAGTAGGGTCTAGGTCTACTAGTACTACAAGCAACTACAAGTTCCTCGACATCCCATTGAATTTGAACTGAGTGACACTGAGAGTCTAAGACCCCGTCCTCATTCACTTCGTTGGAGCGGTCTAACTAAGACCCGTTCCTCAGGAGCAGTTCTTAGGTGAGTGAGAACGGTCAAAGTGGTCCAGGAAGTGGACTTCTGGACCGCTCCAGAAGATCATCTCGGGAGGTGGTCTTGAGGAACGGGTCACGTATCCCTAGCGATTCGACTTTCTTCAAGAGTCTAGCATGCGGTACGGAATCAAAAGCCTTTTTAAAGTCCAGGTATATTACGTCAACCGGTTCGCCATTGTCTATGCTTTCTGTCCAATCCTCAAGCTGACAGAGTAACTGTGTTGTGCATGAACGTCCAGGCACAAATCCATGCTGAGCATCACAATACAACTGTTGGTGAATCATGTGCTTGACAATGGCATCTCTAAGAATGGACTCCATGACCTTAACCACAACTGATGTGAGACTAATGGGACGGTAGTTACCGGCATCCTTCCTACTACCTTTCTTATATATAGCCGTAATGTTTGCTGCTTTCCATTCTAGAGGAAGGACACCTTCTGTGAGTGACATATTAAAAATCTTGGCAAATGGTTCACAGAGTTGATTAGCAAGTTCTTTTAAGACACGAGGATGCAAATTATCCGGACCAGCAGATTTACCATTCTTCAGTGAAAGTAGTTTCTTTCGGACAACATCCGCTGAAAAATTTACTTTGTCAAGCAAATTGTCAATTGAATGTTTGGGAGCTTCAGGAATACTAGAGAGGTCTTCAATAGTGAAAACACTACTGAATTGTTGATTCAACACATCAGCTTTTTCCTGACCAGTAGTAGCTGTTGTTCCGTCAGTTTTGGATAGATTCCCGATCTTACTTCTGCTCTTCGTTTTACTGTTGACATATCTCCAAAAGGATTTAGGATTCGACTTTACTTCTGTTGCTAACCGCAATTCAAAATCTTTGCACAGATCTCGTGTCATATCTCGCAAGGAGTTCCGTTCACGAGCATAAGTAGCATAATCCCATGCGCTATTTGATTCCAGATATCTTTTCCACAGTCTCTGCTTTCTCTTGGAGATAGTCAAAGCTTCATGAGTCATGTAAATATTCCTTTTCTTGCCTTTCCCCATGACTCTCTTTGGAATATACTCTTGCATACATTGATGGAGTTTATCAGACACTTTTTTCCATGAGTCAGTACAGCTAGAATTGGCAAGGAAATCATCCCAATTAACATCACACAAAGTTCTCCTCATTTCTTCATAGTTGCCTTTGTTGAAGTCATAGACAGAGTCTTTTTTCTCTTGTGGTTCTTCACGTTCAAGTGTCGTGTTGATCAATAGACAACAGTGGTCACTCTTCCCCAGGGGAGGCAGATATTCAATGTCGTAAATAAGGTCCGATTCATCAGTGAGCACAAGGTCCAGAACGTTAGCCTGTTGTCCTTCCCTAAATCTGGTAGCGTGTGATACGTGCTGGTAGAGAAAAATATCCTGCACTGCAGTTAAAAATTGATATGCAAATTGATATGCAGCAACAAGACCACTTTGACTCATGGAGCGGTTTGAGCCATAAAAAACTGCTTGGAGTGTGAACGCAAACCGTTCCTCAAGACCCGTTCCTCTGGAGCGGTCTAACTAAGACCACTTTCAAAGTGAGTGAGAACGGGGTCTAACTCTAGGCTACTACTAGTACTAGATCTAGGCCTAAAGAGTAAAGTTACATCATACATGTAGACCCCTAAGTTAAGTTCTAGGGTCTAGATCTTGATCATTACAGAACCAAATCTAACTTTGGATTTGGACCAAATTTAACACCAACATCATTGTCACCTCTAGTAAGTAACTAGTAGATCTAAGTAAGTTCTACACAGCCTCAGGCCCAAGGCCAACCAAGCAAGCACTGTCTGGTCACTGCCACTCTCGATTGCCTCTGCACTCCACAGCACAGCGCTCCATGCATTAACATCATCACATTCGCAGATTCGCACATCTCCCTATTTGTATTTGCATGCAGACTCACTCTCTTATCTTACAAACAGTGCAAATCATCACACAAAACAGTCTGCCATATCCTGACTTACCGATGACTGAGATTCCGACATATTCATTGCAAATCAAATGGCGATCTGATCGACATTCTGTTCAAATTCAGGTGATATAATTCCTTTTTACTCTCAATTACTGAAACACAGCGCGATTTTCTGCTCGCTCGATCGACGATCGCGTACACAACTTGCATGCATAAAATTGGCGCATGCGATCGAGCTCAGCGCCGAAGTTTGGCGCGGCAAGTTAAAAGTGATCTCCACATTCCAACCATTCCATTGTGAAATTCAGAATATTTGTATGATTTGAACTTAGGAAATTTCACCCAAAAGTCATAATAAACAATTCGAATTCAAAGTTGGCACAAAATGTGATTTTGGTTCGAAATTTAAATGATCGAAGCTTCATGAAGATCGTAGTATGAATTAATTAGTAGTTTTATTAACTAACTTTTTTCTCTCCCCCCTTATTGATCCAGTGGACGATTCCGTCTGGAAAGTTGTTTTGATACTTCCAAAAGGTAAAAAAAAAGAAGTACACAACATGTGGTAGTACAGACCACGTGTTTTGAGACATGCTTTTTGTCAGTATTGGGGCGTAGATAGGCTGTAGCCTATGTTGATGAGTGATAGGGTTTTGGACCCCCAGCCCCCGGCCCCAGCCACTGAATTCTACACTGTACTCAATCTGCGCTCCCTATTCACAAATATTCTGTCGGCGAACTTAAAACGTTGATGTCCGCAATAATTTATATAGGCCTACTTCGTACATTAATTCTCCAGATCATTGGGGAAGTTTTAAAAAGCTACGGTGATTTTCCTTTTAGAAAGCTTGTGATTTTAAAAGCTCAGTGTGAGTTTCCTTTTAGAGGAGGCGCCCCTTTTTTAGTGCCCATATAGTGCGCCTTTTAATTGCAGATAAATGAAACTATTTCTAATAATTGTGCCCCTTCCCCCTACTTCAGATAGTGCCCTCACCTTCAAATAAGGGCCCACTCCCCCTTTTCATAAATGCATGCTTTTCACCTCTGATAAGTGCCCTTATCCAAAATCTGATAGGCGCCCCTTTTACTTTCTGATGAGTGCCTCTTTTACTTTGACAGGCCCTGAGGTGCTCACTTTTTTTTATTGGTACCCTTTCCCCTCCTGATAAGTGCCCATTTTACTTTTCTAATAATGCCCCTTCCACTTCTTATAGATAACCCGTTTTACATATGATAAGTGCCCATTTCAAAAATGATAGACGAATCTACATAATTTTTGCAGATTGTGCAGACCTATAAATCACCAAATAGACATCGCCTCCTAAGTTTCTATATTGTTGCCCCCTCCCCCAGCCCCTCCTCCGCCCATTATGTGCGACTGGTATATAAAATAGTGAAATATTTTCTGTTATTAAATTTTATGTTTTGTGCTGACCGCCCCCACCCTCGGTGATTTTTTTTTTTTTGGATTTTTTTTGGATTTAAAAAAAAAAAAAAAAAATTTTTTTAAAGAGTTGGTGGAATGGCGAGTTATATGAAATACTTTATCCATTTTTTGTCTTCATTTTTACTTTTCTCACACCTGTGACAATCATGCCTTAATAAAAATGAAATCAGGGTTGTCCCCTTTTGATGAATTTCCAAGTTTTCACCCAAACCATTCACCAAGTTTCCATTTGTTAAAAAGTTTTAATGCTAAATTTGTTAAAGTGATATTTTTTTCTAGGGGAGGGGTTTACACCCCATTCATCCCATCAGTATCCCAGTGCTATAGCTTGAAACTACCCATATGGAGACTTTTAATGAAAGAAAACTCGTAGGAACACGTCAAAAAGTTAAGTACAAAGACAATACTTGACAAATGTAAACTGACTGTTAAATGGTAACGTTTAATACATTTATCGCTGTACAAAAAATATATTTTCGAACTTAGTTTACACATCTTTATTTTTATAATCGTGATTCAACATCATCATGAATTTATACAACCTGAGTTTGATTACAAGAAAGGTAGACAAATCAAATGTATGGCATTATAAAATAATAATTATTTATGTTATCATGTGTTTCGTCTAGTTTTTAGCAATGCAACACCTTTGGTGCTTGCAAGCGGCGTATAGTTACTGGTAACACGGGACACGTTCCCCCCCCCCCCCAAGTGGTGACAAAAACGAAATGATAAAGGCAAGGTGGAGGAGAAAAGGACGGGGAAAAGACGCCTGAATCACCACTGAAATTAATATTGGGGGCTAATAAATCGTATTTTACAAGGCCTGAACTTTTCACCTTTTCATTTCTTCTCAAATATGTAATTTCCTCGTAATCTGTACAGTAACAAAGCGATTATGTGAATATGTTTTTTAACAATAACACGACTGTTGGTTCGGTTCTGCGTTTTTTTTTCTTAGAATTACGCTGTCTGCGACCTGGTGACCGAGTTCCAAGGAATAGTGATAATTTGTTTGTGTCAAGATTTAAACAAAATGACAAAATGACCCTTTGTTTTCATTTATGTACATGCCAACTTGTGAACTTTTAAAAACAAAGTCAGATGAAATAATTATACATTATTGCATTGGACCTAAATGGAGAAAAAATGGTGCGTTAAACTTTTATCTATGACAGATCCAAGAAAGTATACTAGGGGCAAGGGCGTATCCAGTATTTTGTAAGGGGGGGGGGCAGTTTTTTGCCCAATTCGTGAGAAAATATTTAGCGGCGAATCCGCCAGCCGGCGAATAAGCGGAATGGGGGGGGGGGGGGGGGGGGTGTAAGGAGCACTGTTTTTTTAATTTTATTTTGCCCAATTCGTGAGAAAATATTTAGCGGCGAATCAGCCACCCGGTAAATAAGGGAGAGGGGTGGGGCGTGGCCCATTTTCATTGTTTGTAAATAAAAACATGTTGGTCGCCCATGATCCTCTTTTTGTTATGTTAGTTGAGAGCCGAGTTAATGAGATAGCCACCTGTCAGTGACCTCGCTGTGTGGTCTAATCCCTTCTGGCCCAGTAGTATTGACGATCTTTAAGTTATGAAGCTAAAAACTTATTATCAACATGATACATTTCCTTTTTGTCATACATACAAATATAAAGATAAAAGTGTAATCACTTGCAACTGATACAATATTCAAATGAATTTTTTTCAGAAGATAATACAAACATACAATAGTAAAAAAACAAAGCAACATTCATAACAACGTCAATTAAAGGAAAGAGAATATCATCACCAAGTTTAGTTCAATTAGTAATATAATCACAAAACGTAATACCCGATCAAAATAGTTTACAATAAACTGTGAAAGACAATGTGTATAGGAAGAACTGGATTTTTTTTTATTTGTTAAACAATATGCTGCAAAGTTACCATAAGATAGCCTCTTTTACATCTATATTACACCAATAATATATTCACACGATAATTTCGTCATAATCTTGTTGCCCACAAAAAAGTTGCGTCATTTTAGTTACCCTCTGGTAACTTTTCACAAATCCTGTGAGACCAACACATTTTCGGTCGAGCTAATATCAGTCTCGTGGATAATTGTTGCCTGAAGGCACTCTTGACCAATTATAGTTTCGGTCTGGTAGTACTATATCGGCCTCCTGTGCTGAAGCCCTCTACGTTGGCCCACAGAATGAATACCTTGTCTTGTCCATATACAATTTGTTTTGGTTTTAAGTGAATGGTGAATCAGAGAGGTGTGGTGTTAGATGTGACGTTTACTGCTTCTGGTTGTTCTGGATCTAAAACAAAGAAGGTAGTCAAAAATAGAATAAGAGATGGACGAGGGAAAGAGAGAGAGAAAGAGAATGAGAGAGAGAGAGAGAGAGAGAGAGAGAGGAGAGGGAGAGTAAAAGAGGTGAAAATAACATAAATAATTTCAGATGATACAATCCTTTAAAAACGGAAAAGTAGAAATCTTAGTATTACACAAAAAAATGTGTTTAACAATTTCAGCCCAAATACTGGAGTAATGTTGTCATTTTACTTTCAATCTATATCAATATGAATTTTTAATGAAATTCAATCGAACATTCGTCCTGTAACACCTGCTTAATTCAAGAGATGTCGTTGTCTGCCACTTCTCATGCTAGGAGTCCAACAAAAGAGATCAAAATGCAAAAGTCAAAATAATCATCGGCAAAAAGAAAATAATCAAAATGTAGCGGAACCATTGAAAAAAAAAGCAGCAACCGAGCACAGGAAGGAAGTTTAGAGGGAAAATCGGTTCTTCAGTAACAAAGGATGATCAAAGTCTAGGACTAAGAGAGTGAGAGAGGGAAGGAGAGAGAGAGAGAGAGAGAGAGAGAGAGAGGGAGGGGTGAGGGGTAGGAGGAAAAGTTTTAAAAAACCTGAAAATATGGGAAGAATATGGTATGAGAAAGAAAAAAAGAGGAAGGGGAAGAATTCAGAAAAAGAACAAATGCCCACAATAATGGTAATGAATGAGATAAAGCAATACAAAAAACAAAAAAAATAATAATAATAGAAATGACGTAATCTCCACAACTTACCAAGTCGCTTCCTTCGTCGGCAGCAGCCCGTGAAGTTTGGACAGAATGGCAGATAATAGAAGCACGGTACTTTGTTGATCACCCGCATCAATAACCAGGGTAGCTCATAGCACTTGTTGACGAGCTCGGTCACCTTTTCATTGACGGTTCCGTCCTCTCCGTCCCCTGTGAGGCGTTGAAATTTAATGATCCCCCTCTCTTCAATCGTTCCTAGAAAAGAACAACGAAAACATGGCAGCTATGGTTACTATATTTTCTACGTTTGTTGATGATATTATCTCTCACTTTTTATACCTTTCCTCGTTTCATTGACGATTAAAATGAGCTCGGAGTCAGAGGCGTTGCGTGTCCAGCCGTTGAGGGGCACTGGCGCCGTTAAGAGAGCAACCCCCCCCCCAAAAAAAAAACAACAACAACAACAACAACAACAACAAACAAACAAACAAACACACTGGTACTCAGAGGGTTCCAACGTCTTCTTTTATTGTTCATTTCCCCCGTTCTCTTTTTTTTCTCCTATCTCCTTTCTTTTCAATGCCTTGGGAGGGCATGTTCCCCGACCCCCTCCCCGTCCCCGCCATGCAGTTGCGACGCCACTGCTGGATACATCACAATATCTTACCTGGGATGGTGTTGTCCAGTATAAAACCAAAGAATCCTCCAACAAACATACTGGTACTCAGGAGAACAACGATGATTTGGTCCAGTTCAGGTACGCCTATAATAAACAAAGTAACAAAGTATATACCTTTATTGAACCAGTAACTAATATGACAGAAATATTTAGTATTTAGTCAAATACAGCCAAACATGTTTATTAAGGACACAAAAAGTGGCCATTGTAGACAGGTTCTTCAAAACACATTTCATGATTTCGAGAGGTAGTCAATATCGATGACCACTAAAGACAGGTGGTCTTCACACGGGGATGGCCGCTCTGGCAGGCTTTTAATCTGCACAATGGCTTACTAACTAATGTCTGTATAATCTATACTAAAGAACGAAAAAGGTTATGTGGTTTATACTTTACGTTATGCAACATAAGTCTTTTTTTTTTTAATAAATCTAACAAAAATCTAAATGTGTCATTAAATACCTGTGGCAATGTACG